ATATTTAGAAACATAAAAAGCTATTATTTCTGAATCAAATTATTGTATGTGATGATGTGGAACTTTAATGTACTGAACCAAATTTGTTGTTGCTGTCTCCTATTTTGCTCCCGTTTGAACTCTTTTCAACTTTTTTTTTGGTGTTTCAGGAGCAACTTGAGAAACTGTAAATTGCTTCTGGTGTGAGAGAATTGGCCATCTGCAAGGACGTTGCCCAGGGGATGCCTGGATGTTTTACCATCCTTGTGGGAGGCTTCTCTCATGTCCCTGCATGAGGAGCTGGAGCTGATAGAGAGAGCTCATCCGCTCTCTCCTCAGATTCGAACCTGCAACCTGTCGGTCTTCAGTCCTGCCGGCACAGGGGACAAACCCACTGCACCACTGGGGGCTCCTCTTTTCAACTGCAAGGTATATATTCACCTGTGTTTTTCAACTATGGCTAAGAATGCTACGAACATCTTCTCTGAAGGACTCAAATCTGGTGTGTTTTCTTTATGAAGTAGCAACAGTGGGAAGTTGTCTGGGGCTTTGAAAATGGAGGCTTTTTGTCTCTGATGGGAAGAGTTGTAGGATAATGATTGCGGGAACGAAAGTTCTTCTCCTCTTGAAGGAAAAAAACGAGGACAAACTTCTTGTATAGCTTAATTGGGAGCAATATTGTGCAGACACAGATGCAGTGATGCACACTTGGTTTCCTTTGTCTTGAATAGCATTTATAAATGTCTTAGTCGAAGCAGGGCCATGTGTTCTGGGTATAAAGTGTCTTGGCCTTTGTTTGTTATCCTGGACAGAAAGAAAATAGTAGATCTGATCATTAGGACTCTTGTGCACTCTGTCAGGCATTTATGGCAAGCTTCCGTAGGTTAATTAAGCTGCTGGCAGGGTATATTTCTAGGAATGTCCTTGTGCTTTTGATTTGCTGGGCTTGTTGTTTCTATCCCTCTATCACTTACTTACTCAGCACCCCTCCTTAGCTTCTTTACAAACCCAGGAGCCTGTCTTTCTCGCACCGTTCCATAACTTTCTAGAGACTGTGGGAAGACTCAGAAACCCAACACCATTTCTGAAGAAAGATATCATTTTCCCTAGAGAGTGGTAACTATAGTCCTGTGAGAACAAAGAACTCTGGCTAGAATTTATCTCCATTACCAATAATTTTGACCACAGCGCAAATAGAAATCTTGATGGTTTCTTGGAAGTGTTTGCTGATGAAGTGGTTAGAGCCGCTTCACATTTTATATAGGAGCCATGCTCTGAGTGAGGTTCCGGCTGTTGAACAAATTGTGAATCATTAGCATGACCACCCAGCATTCTCAAGACATGTAGACACACTTTGTTCCTTCACCATTGTTCTGTTTCTAGTAGAAAACATGCAATTCAGCTGCTGCAAAATGCAAAGTGGTTTTGATTAAGGACTAGCTTAGAAAAAACATGGTCAGACCTAAAGTTAGTGTTTCAGGTGTAAAAATATGAAAATGAACCTCTTTCACTGCATACATCTGGATTCTTGGTATACAACAGGCAGGGATGGTGTATAAAAGAGACACTACAATTCTTATGTTTCCGTTTGCTTTTAATGGCGTACAGAGAGAGGACATTGCTCCTGATGCGTAAGCTCCATTGGATGCCAGCCTTCTACCAAGCACAATTCAAAGTGCTGGCTTTCGCCCGGTTCCGGCCCTGTTTACGTGTCCAAAGGTATCTCCATCTATGAGCTAGCTATAAGTGGTTTTAAGGTTTAACATGTTTTTAAAGATTGTTTTAATGTATATGCTTATTTTACTATGTATGTCCATATGGAATCGAATTGTTGCCTATATATGTAAGCCACCTTGGGTTCCCTATGGGGTGAGAAGGGTGGCGTATAAATATGGTAAATAAAGAAATCTGAAATACTGAGAGTGTGGGAAACACTCCAGGGAACTTAAGGCACATAAAATATGACCCTGTGTTTGCAGGAGACATGTTTCTGGACTTTATGTAGATGTGAAACCATGAATAATAATGGATTCTATTGAAAGGATGGATTCCTGGTCCAAGAATACCTTGCACTTAGAAAATGATAGGACATATTTTCTCAGATACCCATAAATAAAACTGCAGATATGGTGGGGGTTCATACTGCATGCCACTGCAGGGTCAGGTTTTGGGGTAGGGGAATAGTTCGGAGAGAGTAATCTAAAACAGGGACATTGCCAGTTATAAATCTTCAGCTTTTTTCTTCTTAGTCAGTGGGCACCATCTTCAGCCCGTTGATTCCTGGCTTCAGTGCTGTTTTTCCAAATTTATTTAGTGGGTTTTTGTTTTTTTAAAAAGGAAGGCCTCTAAGTAGCATCACTATTCTCAGAAAAACTGTTTCTATGGGACTATTTTAGAATTTTCATCTTTTTATAAAAGAATAATACTGACAGACAGAGGAAATGAGATATTCAAAAACACGTGACTCAGCTAGCTAAACTAAGACCAAAATTACAAGCAGACCTTGGCCTTAACTTTCAAACCACATATCCTTTCAGGAGATATGACCAGGCAGTTTATGGACAGGGGTGGGGTGGATGCCAAAGAGTTCTTTTGAGGAGTTCCAAACTAAACATTGCTGATTAAAAATTCCAAGCTATATTATGAACAAGTAAATCTATTACAAATGAAAGGGAAAGTCTGATTCATATGTTCAAGCTTGCTCTTAGGAGCCTGTAGCCAGAGTAAAATTGATGTTAAAGCCTTCGGGGAGTCTCTGCCCTATACTTCAAGAATAAAGCTGATCACCTCAGTTAAGTAGGGAATTGTCTTCTCTGCATGTTAGATTGCAGCTGCAATCTAAAGTACATTTACTTGGAGGCAAGTGCTTGCTTAAATAAACATGCCTTACTTTAGAGTAAAGATTGTGAGGATTATTGTGTGTGGAATCCAAGCAATAGCCATATGAAGGGGGAAGGGGTGCTGGAAAGACTAAAGAAAGGTTGAAAAAAAATGGAATTCAAGAATGAAGATTTTGATCTCAGGAGTTTGGAAATGGTGGCTTTTTGCATGCTTGTCATACTGCCAGTTTTAAATTGATGAAAGAACACATCCAAGAATTTCTCTTCTCACTCACATCTCAACTTTGGTAAGACCTGTTTAGTACCCTACATATAACAAAGAACACCAGGGAGAGTACCCACATTGAAGCAAGACTTGAGGGCAGATGGCTTGTTCTTATAACAAGCTTCTCCCTGGATTTTATCTGGTGATAAAATGGGGCATAGGGTGGCTACCTGTGCTCGATGGGGTCGCACTCCCTCTGAGGACACAGGTCCGCAACTTGGGAGTCCTTCTGGACTCTGCCCTGACACTTGATGCTCAGGTGTCAGCGGTGGCTGAGAGGGCCTTTGCACAGTTAAAGCTCGTGCGCCAGCTGCGCCCGTACCTTGTGAAATCTGATTTGGCCATGGTGGTCCATGCCCTAGTCACCTCTAGGTTGGATTACTGTAATGTGCTCTACGTGGGGTTGCCCTTGAAGACGGCCCAGAAACTACAAAACTTGGTCCAAAGATCTGCGTCCAGACTACTTATGGGAGCTGGTTACAGGGAGTGGTCTACCCCTGTTTAAACAGCTCCACTGGCTTCCAATAAGTTTCTGGTCTCAATTCAAGGTGCAGGTTATTACCTATAAAGCCCTAAATCGTTCAGGACCTGCTTATCTCCACAATTGCATCTTCCCCTATGAACCAGTGTGTACCTTGAGATCATCCGGGGAGGCACTGCTCTCTCTCCCCCACCTTCTCAAACATGGTTGGTGGGGACGAGGGAGAGGGCCTTCTCGGTGGTGGCCCCCTGGCTCTGGAACTCCCTCCCTAGGGAGATCAGACAGGCTCCAACCTTGTCCTCTTTCCAGAGTCAACTAAAAACCTCTGCTTTCAATTAAGCAGTCCACCAGTAATTTTTCCCTGTCCCTATTTTAAATTCAGCACTTTACATTTGGCCCTCTCACGGTCTGCCTCAACACTTTGATGACACTATTTCCAGTCCTAGCCACTTGATTGATGCTCCTCTTCAGGATATATTACACTCATGGAGCCTGAACCTCAGCTATGTCGTCCCCCCCCCCCGCTTCATCTTAGCCATATTGTTAGATAATGTTTACAATTGTGTTTGTTTTTATATTTTATCTGATGTTTTTAATTGTGTATTCTGTTTGTAAGTTGACCAAGAACTGATTCATAACCCCTTTGGTACTATTGATGAAGAGTAGTCTCTGGTCAAGTGGTCCCCAGTCGAAGGAGTCCCTGGTCAAAGTGATCCCTGGTCAAAAAAAGGTTGGGAACTAGGGCTGGGCGGTTTCGTTTCGTAATTCGTTAAAAATTCGTTATTTTTTTTGATAACGAAGTGACAACGAACCATTCAGGAGCAACTAAAAAACGAAACTAATTTTTAAATTCGTTTCGTAATTGTTCCAAATTCGTTTTGTATTTGTTTCGTTATGGTTTTGAAATCGTTTCGTTATTATTTCTGCATGTCTAGGGCAAGTTTTAGTTGTTGTTTGTTTAATCAGTGAAAAAAAATTATAAATATCACACCAACAGTCAACAACAGAGGGGGAGGGAAGCTTCAGAAGTTCCCCCTGTCCCATTTGGAGGTTTTTTAGCGTATTGCGTGGCCGCGGCCGCCATTAACGAATCGATTCGTTATTGTTTTGAAATTGTTTCGTAATTTACGAAATTTCGTAAATATCGAACTTTTAAAAAGAAAATTTTCGGAATTCTTTTAAAAATCGAAACGCAAAACCCCCAAAAACCGAATCGATTTTAGAAACAAATTTTTCCGTTGTTACCCAGGCCTATTGGGAACCACAAGTCTACAAGAATGGGGTTTGAATTAACAGAACCGCTAAAAAGAAAACCCCAACAATTTGGAGGTCTAGTCAAACATTGAATACCAGCTAGATTTATGCAGATCATAGATGCAGATCTTTTTCAGTTATAGACATCACCTCATATACAGAGACATGCACAAAGAGGAAGTAAAATGTCTGTCATATATTTTAATGGCAAAATTCAACAAAACATTTATACTGTCCAAGAGGAAAGCAATGGGAGCACAAGCTCCCAACACAGTTACAAAAAAATACAATCAATCAAAAAGGTGTCCTAATGGTTTAAATTCTAGGGGGAGAGGAAGTAGGTATTGCACGGGAAAGGGGGAATTCACCCTCAAACATACTCCTCCCCCTCAGAGTAAAACAAGCCAAGGTTTGAATTGCACAGCAACTCAGCTTAGGACACGCACGCGTGCACGGACACACATACATAGAAACTGGGGAAAACAGTGTGCTTTTGAACTACCTGTACAAAGTTTAAGACAACATATAAAAGGAGGGATGAAGAGACAGCAGGCCCATGGGGTATAAAAGCTTCCAGGAGGCTGGCCTATACATCCAGCTATAGAAGTACAATTCTGCACAAATTAAAAAGACCAAAATATGAACCACTGTGAGGTACCATGTGACTACCTAAAACAGGCTTGGGCAACCTATGGTCCTTCAGATCAGGTCCGCACAATCTGTGGCCCTCCAAGTACTCTGGACTTCAGCTCCAGGAAGTTTTGACCATCGAATAAGCTGGCTAGGGCTTCTGGGAGTTGGGAGTCACAAACACCTGGACACAAACCCATGTGCAGGCCTGCTCCAAATGTTAAGTTTGCAGTTCCCACCAGTCCCAACCAATATGGTAAGGAATTGTTAGAGTTAACAATCCAACAACATCAGAAGGGCTACAAGTTTCCTATCCCTGTTCTAAGATTTTAAGACATGCTCTTCCACATGATCTGCAGTGCCCACCAGTAAAGGAGGTTGCCTTTACTAGTCACTGGAGCTGTCTAGAAACAAGGACCCACTGACTCAGTCTACAAGGTGCATGTGGACTTTAATTGCCTGAAGAGTTTTGTATGCTTTTTCTACATCTCTGGAGAGGAAAACATGAAAAATGTCACACAGGTTACAGTATCTGAATGAACTTCTGGTGTGGTATTGCCCACCTCTTTCCAGGACTTGTGATTGCAGTTGCGCTTGTTTGTATGACCTTTGTTACATGATGCTATCTCTACATATGGAACGGGGCACAGGTAGATAGGAGGAATAAAGTCCCAAATGGTAATACAGATATGCATTGAAACCTTGGAGCTGCTATCGTGACTTTTCAAAAGCTCCACAAATCATGAGAGCACGGGTACAAAAAGTAAAGTCAGTCTGAAAGGAAGACAAACTTTTAGACAGGCTCAAATAATTCCCTAATGGAGAATGGTATCTGGATAAAATGCATTGCACTCCTGACCCTAATCACGCGGAGTGTTCTAAAATGTGGAAAACCAAGACCAGTCTTTGCACTTCATCCCTGCTGATTCAAATTACTGTAAACAAACTTTGATTAGTCTTGTGTGAAGACTAACTTTCCCCATCACTTTGACCATGACTTTAAAGGCAAACATTCCGTTGACAGAACCCATTTCTTTCTTCTTCTTTGCACTCTAGTGCTGATCTCACTCCATAGAAAGCCAGTCATTTCCCAACTGTTTAAGATCACTGTTTGCAGATGCACCGAAATTTAAATGTTCTTGCTGCAAATTCAATACTGAAACTCATCATAAATGATCTGTTCACTGTCAGTCTGTTCTTACTAAGCAGAGTTTTACCCCCTTAATATTCTGACAGGATTTTAAGCCTGTAAAACTACATATCAGAGCCCCCCCTCTTCTATAGTGGCTAACTCTCTCCACCATTTGGATTCAACACCAGACCAGTTGGTTACCTGCTCAAAATCTTTTGAGGGTAAATGAAACTAGTTATACAGCAGCTTGATATGCAAACTGGTTAAATGCAATGAATTCAGAATACCTCAAAGCAAACACAGGCTTCCCGATTGAGAACATGACTCTCAGTATATGTGCCTGGCCTTATCAAGGAACAGGTTCCTTTAACCATGAGCTTTTTGTTTTTAGCATAGCAAAAAAAGAAAGAAAGGAAAGGGGACAAAGACTTTGGCTAGCAAAGATATTAGGATAAAGTGAAGGATTACTGAGGTCACACAGCATAGTACAGAGCAGGCATGGGCAAACTTCAGCTCTCCAGGTGTTTTGGACTTAAACTCCCACAATTCCTAACAGCCTCAGGTCCCTTAAGTGGCTGAGGGGGAAAAGGAAAGGGTCCGAGGCTGTTAGGAATTGTGGGAGTTGAAGCCCAAAACACCTGGAGGGCTGAAGTTTGCCCATGCCTGGAATAAAGGGTAAGTTTTCTAACAATTCAGCTGGAAAATATATGTAAGCACAGGGAGGATTTAGGAATAAACTGCAAATACCATTCCTGTTGAAGTAAGGAATTACGTGGCTATGCAGAAACATTTCTAGCTGTTACTACTAGTACCAGTAACTTCCTGGTCCCTGGATAAATGGATGCAGCGCATGGCATTAACACTGGTTGTTTACTCTGCTCCCTTGACCTTAGTGTATGAAACAGTCAATCTTACTTACCACCCTATAATATAAAGGCGAATGGCCCAGAAAGAGTCCTTCATTCCTAACTAGTAGCCTATTAAGGTTGAGTTTTGAAACCACACCATTTGAGCCAACATATCTTGTACACATTCATAACAGGCTATTTGCCAACTCAGTGTGTGTGAAAGGAAGAGGAAAAGCAGTTATGTGAGAATGGAAGGAGGGGGAAAGTTGGAAAGTAGGAAAGATGAAGAGGCACTTTGCTCGAAATGTCTAGTCCAGCAGGCTCAAAAGTCAGCTTGGAACAGCTTGCCCAAAAGAGGGCGCGATGTTCCCTGGACACAGCAGGCACTACCATCCTGTTACATAAGCACCCCTCATAGTACAGGACATACAACAAGGAGTCAACAGGACAAAAGGGATGAACCAAAGGGAAAAGCAGAAGGTATGTTGCCTTGGAAAGCATGCTAGAATGGCCTATGACCTGATTTGGGTTCCTGCAACGTTTTCCCATGTGACTGTAACTCAAGGTTTGTGTGAGTCCCTCAATATCATGATGTATCGGTAACAGAGGCAGGGTTGGAATATATCACCTGCATGCTATCCCTTTGTTCTGCTATGTCCCCAGAATTGTGCTAGTATTCCTCCAGTAACAGGGCTTATCAGGAAAACAGACACTGCTACTGGTGAAACTGTTGGGAAGGGCAGCATCTACTGCTAGAAGCCAGGTTAAGTGGGACTGAGCAGCAGAAGGCTCGCAGCAACAGCAGATTCTGTGCTTTGGAGACATCATATGCTAGCTGATAGGGCCTCACAACTGGGACACTGTGAGGGTTGAAGGAGAACAAGCACTTCCCTCCATGTGCTCTGAAGGGAGAATCCATGACCCTCAACTAGACCTGGAGGCTGGTAGGAAGGGAACATTAGGTAGTGGAGTCCATCCCTGGAATGTGGTGGTGGTGGTGGGAACAAACGGGAGTCAGCGCTGTTCAACATCCATTACACTAATAAATAACCATGTGGTGGCTTAGCCCAAACCAAGCTTTTCTTCCTCTCCTTGTTAGTTATTCAAGGAAAAGCTGGCCAAGCTCTTGTGCCACTCTGCTCTCCTGGGCAGGGATAAGGCACACTGCTCAGCGTTACACAGCTGTCTCCTGATCCTCTCTTTGGATCATCTGGTAGTGCTGTCGATTTTCGAGGTAGGCAGCCAAGTCAGGGTCATTTGCCTTCTCGGCTCTGTGCTTGGGTGTGTCTCCCTGAAGAAAAGAGAAACAAAACATGTATTTATCTTCAATGTTCTCCCTTTCTCCCAATATTAGGACCCAACATGGACCACAATGCAATTAAAAAACAGACACATCTAAAACACAACAAGCTTTTGTACTGACATAAAACAAATCTAAAATACATCAGGAGATAGCTTCCTTCCCACCTTTGAAACCCCTTAATTTAGCTGCTAGTCAGTAGCCAAAAACCAACCAGAATCAAATAGCTCCAGCAGAAGGACAATAATGCAGTTTCTGTGGGAAGTGGGTTCCATAACCTTAGGAGCAGACACCAAGAAGACAATCTCTCTCACGTCCTCATAAAATGTGGCTGTGATAGCGATGAAACTATGAAAAAGGTTTCCCCAGAGGTCTGAAAACTTGGGAAGGTTCAAAAGAGACATTTATTTTTCTGCAGATAGCCTGAGTCCTTCAGAGAAAACAAGTCACAGATGTTCTGTCTGAAGACGTATAAGATCTCATCTCCCAGCTGTAGCAGCTCTGTTGTGACATATTTGATTTTAGCCTGAATAGTAGGCACCATAAGATTTGGAAGGAGCCCCCGGTGCTGCAATGGGTTAAACCCTTGTGCCGACAGGACTGAAGACTGACAGGTTGGAGGTTCAAATCCAGGAAGAGCTGGTTAAGCTCCCTCTGTCAGCTCCAGCTCTCCATGTGCGGGCATGAGAGAAGCCTTCCACAAGGATGGTAAAACATCAAAACATTTGGGCATCCCCTGGGCAACATCCTTACAGACAGCCAATTCTCTCACACCAGAAGCGACTTGCAGTTTCTCAAGTCGCTCCTGACACGAAAAAAAAGAGAGAAAGAATTGGAAGTGAGATTGAAAAGTAAATGGAAAATTGTTAGGCAGTGTACTTATAATGCTGACCCTCCTTTTCCTTATATGCCCAGTAGATACAGGTGTCAAAAGAAATGGGAGGTATTGCTTTTATTTCCATGCTCTACATCAGTGGTTCTCAACCTTCCTAATGCCACGACCCCTTAATATGCTTCCTCATGTTATGGTGACCCCCAACCATAAAATTAGTTTTGTTGCTACTTCATAACTGTCATTTTGCTGCTGTTATGAATAGTAGTAATGTAAATATTATGGGTCCCCCTTTAAACAACCTATTGATCCCCCCCCCAGTCTTTACATTAACATTTTTAAAGGACACTTAAAATAATTTGGCAGCAAATAGACAAGAAACCTAAACTAACCAAGACTAGTAGTTATCTAAATTCTCACAACAAGCTTGTGTCCTATATTCAAGGGATGATGTCCCTAATGCAACAATAATGCTTTCTACATCTGCTTAAAATCCTGGTCACTCTATGTACAACTTTCTATAAATATCAAGGTGGTGAAGAAGAACCTAGAGGATGTGGATTTTCTTATATTTGTACTGAGGAGCAAGAGAGGTAAAAGAAAAACCTAGCTGAAGAGAAGAACTGCTTAGCCTAGAACATCTATGCACACAGGTTGCAATGAGCAGACAGAGGCTCCCATAAGTGTCTGTGATTAGGATCTATGGCGACAAGTACTGCCTCGGGGGCTGGAGGAGGAGGAGGGGCAAGGCAGGAAGCCAGAAAAGCATGCTGGGAAGGAGTGTCTTGGGATTGCTGGGAGATTAGCAGTTGACAGCTAGATAAGACCTCAAGGACCTGTTTGCATTTGCTCCTGCCCTCCTCCACAACTGACTAGTCAGTTGGAAAATAAAAGCCCGTGTATGTATATATGCATGTGGATTCATAACTGCACCTTCCACATGTGATTGTGCACATAGGGAAAGGTGAAAGCTTTGCTCAGTTATGCAATGAAATCCTGCCATAAAAGTTTGCTCCCCTGGTCTGCAGGAGCTAGGATAATGCAGCAAAATGATTTTTATTTTGGGATGGGGAGGTTAGGTGTGTGCTTGGGAAGTGCCCTGAAATACCATCCCTCCAGCCTCCCACCCCCACAGCCTCGCTAGCTCCTGATCCCCAAGGAGTCTCACATTTCATGAACGTATTGCAGCCATCTGGACTGCGTCCACTAATGAACTCCTGCACTCCATAAAAAGCAAATCTGTTAACAGCTTTCAGCCATGTCTCCCCCTCCTTCTCCCCTCCTCTATCCCACACAAAACTCCCCCTCTCCCTCATTAACTAACCCCCCAGCTCTCCCGCACTCCATCAGGGCTGAACAAACTCACAGCTGAGAGAGGCCAAGGAAAACTGGCTCTTTGCCGTCTCCATTGAATTCTAGAGAGGGCAATCCTCCCACGCTGGCCCTCGCATCCCAGTACGGAGAAGGCAGCGGTTGAGGCAAAGGAGAAGGAAGAGACCCAAGCCCCCAAGGACAATTTCCAGCAACATTTCATTGGAGAGCACAATGGGTCAGACATTCAGGGACTCTGCTATCACATATATGCAGCTGTAGAAACAAGGGGAAGTTGCACTACTGACCTCTCTCCAGCTACATACAGACAAAGGCAGAAGCAAAGGGCATGGGATTAATTCATGAACCCACTCACAATATACAATGTACAGGTTCACACTCCAAAGAGGAGGTAGTACACACACGTTTTACCACTACTGAAAACCTTATCATCACCACCACCAGCTTCAGCATCTCTTTTCTCTTGCAATATGAACAGCAGCAGGACACTTTTCTCCTTGAGCAGACAGAATCTACACCTGGATCATAACTCTATGTAAACTCCCCTGGTTCTGGGAACTGTAATCTGATGTTCCTCTGACACATGTGAAGCAGGAGCTAACTGTGTTCCAGTCATGTTACAAAACCATGCTTGTATATTACCCAGATTATTCTGCTCCCATCACGTTTAAACACATTGTTTTTCAGTCATGCTGCAAGCCATGCTGATTTTTTTTTTAAAAAATGGCTCCAGGTCATTTTGTTTACACAAACAAAATCAATCCATGTTACATAGCATGAGCACCAGCAAAACAAATAGCATACAGCAAACTATGGTAGTTTCTTTTTGTCAATGGCTAATATGAGGAGAGACAAATATAAACAGAGTATATAGTTCAGTCTTTGTAGTTTGCAAGGTGCCCATACTCATAATCCACAATCTTCCTCTCCCCTTTTTACATTTCCAGGGCTATCTACACCACTTGGGACTTTTGATTTGGTTATGTCACAATGCCCAAGGTATTGGTAATAGGGTTAGGGGAGCAAAAAAGCAGCTAAGAATATGCTATTAAAACTTGTCCAGGCAGTTGGCAAAGAACTTTATTACTTGTCTGAAATGCTCCAGTGCTTTTATAGCTCCATTAGCCTCAGCACTGGTCAGGTGAAATAACAGGCCCCAGCGGTCTTTGGCAACATGACATGATGCATCCCCATTTGATAATCCTACTGCTCAGCTTCAGGTCACAACAAACAGCAGGCAGCAAGGCAAGATTACTCCCCTTTCAACTGGACAGAGAACACATGTTTCTTTCTCCTTTGCACTGGCCAAGCTCTGGGAACCTTGTTATTAAAGTGTAACCTCAATTCCTCCCCCCAAATTGTACTGGCACAACACTCTAATTGCATCTCAACCACCGCATGCCAAGATACTGTGACACTCTGATGTTAAAGGGGACACCACTCAGGCAACAGAAGTCTATTCTACTGCTTGAAGTATTAATTCCGATGTTTTCCCTTCAGTAGGGTAGCATACAGAACACACGAAACTCTGCAATTAGGAGAGGGAAAAGTCTTCAGTGAGGCTGTCCTTGCAGTGACCTCAAGGAGTGATGGTGAGTAGAAATGAGACATTCTGGCTGGATGTTTAGAAGATAAACAAACAAACAATGATAGTGGCAGAATAAGAGAGATTTAACTCTTTGAAAAGCTCTTGGGTTAAATACTGCAGATCACCCGCAGAAGTTAAGTGTCCTTACCAATATGCTTTCATTCTTAGTTTATAAATATATCAAGTCATGTTTCCCTATCCTGGCCCAACAAAAATTAGCATTTTGGTTGTCATATTATGGTGAAAGTTCAGATTCACATTTTTTCAGCCAGAAAAAACTTGTATACAACGAAATCTAAGAGTGTTTAGTTAGTCTCCATACTTTTTCCTGACACTATATACTATATGGATTGTTGTTAATACAGGAGTTGCTTTTGTTGAACTCAGAAATAGGGTAACTTAATAGGGCAACATTTTTGCCCTCAGAGATGAATTCCAATTTTAGAACATCCAAAAGCCATAATCCAGCAATGAGTGGGTCGAGATGTACTTCAGCTATACACCACTGTCCAATGGTTTCCTGGTCTACTACACACTAGAGTGAAATTCCATGTAACATGATCTCAGGACACAGATTGGAGCAGAATTCCACAAAACAGCTTCCTGGGCTGCAAATGAGAACTCTGTTCCATTGAACAGCTTCCCAAGCTACAGACCAAAGTTCACATCTATTGAACAGGAAACTACAAATCTTGGACTGCAAAAGTTGATCTAAATTCCATGAAATGGCTTCCTTGCCTGCCTCATATTTTTGGGCACCAAGAGAAACAGAAGAAACTTGTTACTGGTTTGGGAATCCCCACATGCTGCTTTTGCTAAGAATCACTACTTGTTGAGCATAGAAATTAACTACTAAAACGGGTGTTCTCAACATTCCCTTTTTGCAGATAAGACTCTTACCTGCAGGTCAGTTTTCATCAGTGATGCCCCAGCTTCCACAATGTAATGGCAAATTGTGCGCTGGCGAAGAGTTGCAGCCAGGTGTAAACTGGTCTCACCCCTAGGAGCAAATGACAAAAAGGAGGGCTATGTTGAACACCACACAAACCCTCCTCTCACATCTGTGAAGGTATACATAACTACGGCAGAGGGTCTGGAGCTATTTTGGGGCAAAGATTCTCTACTGAAGGATGAGATGGGGTTTGTCTTAGCACAGGCATAAGCCAGATACGTTCATCACTGAGCTTTAACCCGCATCCCCTTATGCCCTCACTATCCTTCTTCCATCTTCTCAAATGGCTTCCCAGCCTATGCCTTCCCAGGTTCAAGGAGGAGAACCTGAGAAGGAAAGGAGATTCCACCTGAACATTAGGAAGAAGTTCCTGACTGTGAGAGCCGTTCAGCAGTGAGTGTGGTGGAGGCTCCTTCTTTGGAGGCTTTTAACCAGAGGCTGGATGCTGGATGGCCATCTGTCAGGGGTGTTTTGAATGTGATTTTCCTGCTTCTTGGCAGGGGGTTGGACTGGAAGGCACACGAGGTCTCTTCCAACTCTATGACTCTATATTTTATATTTATCGTGTCATCAGCAACCATACCATTGTGTTACAATTCTAACAGAACAAAACAAACACACAGATTAAAAAGAAAAAGAAAGAAAAAACACACAGATTTTGCAAACTTGGTAGTTGGTTAAATGTCCTTTGACCAGTATCTGGCCACTTGGAGTGCCTCTGGTGTTGCCGCAAGAAGGTCCTCCATTGTGCACGTGGCAGGGCTCAGGTTGCATTGCAGCAGGTGGTCAGTGGTTTGTTCTTCTCCGCACTCGCATGCCAAGGATTCCACCCTGTAGCCCCATTTCTTAAGATTGGCTCTACATCTCTACTCTATGAGGTAGTTTCACCATGTGAATTTGACCACCTCCTGGCTCTTAGAGAATGGGGCTCTTTAGCAAAAAGACCTCAATCTCAAAAGTGAACTTCTGCACTCTTTTGATTTTGAAAAAGTCATTTAAAATATGTTTTCAGTGAGAGTATAACCCATGGAGTAGAATTGTCTTCTAGAAAGTGCTCATCCTGGCACTAAGATGACTCCTGTCCAACTAGGAAGGGGAGATGACTGAACACAGGGAATAGTGATGAAGAGAACAAGCTGGCATTTTACCCACTTCAGAGCACTATGATCATAACAAACACTATCAAACAGGATGGAACTTACTTCTCTTCTTCAGCCATGTCCAGAATCTCTGCAGGAGCTGGAGACAGAGTTGAAAGTAAAATAGTAACATGCCAGTCCTCATGAATATGCTAAGCACAGCATCCTCCCTACTCCATATCCACTGTGGAAAAAATCTGCATTTTCTGTGGGTTTCAAGCACTTCTACAAAATTAACCTCATGGCTCTTTACCTGCATCAAATACAGTCTGGCATTTTCTTACTATCAATTATGCAGCTCCCTGTTTTTTCATTCAGCCCACCATAACCTCTGCCAACTTTCTAGTCTCAGAGGTGGGAATGGGGCTTTCAAGTATCTTTTTATTTGTAACTGTTTAGAGAACAGAAAATCTAGGGTAGAAATAATATGCAGGAAGTTTCTTGTATGTGGATGGCAACTGGTAAATTCTTAGATTTATAGTAAAAACAATTTCAGACTTTGATAAGGCATCCTTTACAGTATGTATATAGTTTTAATGTATTTTTGGCATCTAATGGCTGCCTGCTGTAAGCCGTCCTGAGTCCCTCTTCAGAGGTGAGAAGGATGGAACAGAAATGCCTGAAATAAATAATAAATTTCTCAAGGACATGGCATAAAAGAGAACTGCTGCTGGTTACAGTGATAATGAAAATTCAGCAAGGAGAACTGACATGTATGAGAGATTGTGTTAGCTATTCTGAGTACAACGCATCTGAGAAGAAAATAAAAACTCTAATAACATGCCGCCCATCCTGCAAGGTAGAGTTTCTTTGTGTGTGTGAATGCACAAGCATGCAAAAACTAGGGTCATCACTGAGGTACAGTATTTTTGACATAGCTTAGCCAGTAACAAGACAAAGCACAATCTCATTTCCAGTTAGAAGAGTCAAGCTGTAGTAGTACTGACTTTGTTTAACTCTATGGAGCATTTTCCGAATCCTTTGTGTAAACTATTCCTTAAGATCTGCTTGATGGACTTCACAAATATTTGATTTAATCCCTCACTGGATCCCCATTAATTCCTTACTGTCCCATGGATCAAATATAATAGCAGAGCCCCTATAAATTTTCTGATCAACTTACCATTTTCAATTATGTATTTGACAATCTCCTTGTTCCCTGATTTGACTGCATGATGCAGGACAGTTTGGCCTGAGTGATCACGCATCATCAAGTCCTTTCCAGCCTGGTGCAGTTCTTTGAACTAAAACATGATAAGAAAAGCTCAAGCTATAATACAGTCTTGAGGATGGTATTTACAATGTGATTTATAAAAAAATAAAACCCAAAGCAAAACCAAGAGCAGACCACTAAAGAAAACAGCTGTTTACCAACTATTTAGACTGTTGTATCAAACAAAAACAGTTAACAGTGTTGAAATTTTCAACATAGAGAAGATAGTGATGTGACTCGCTTCCTCCACAAAGGGAATTCCACCCACAGAACCTGACTTCCGAAATGTCTGATCAATCCCATCAGTAGAAACCTCTTTTGATAGTATGGGGATATGGAAAAAGAATGGTTCTTATGTGCAATACATTCATTTTCAAAAGATAAGGCAGGAACATCCTGTAACTTGAGTTACTCCTCCCACTTGTTCCAATAGGTAGGAAGAAGAAAAGACCTTCTGGTGTTGCCAAATGGGAGAGCAGCCCTTCCAAGGTTAATTGCTAACCCAGCCAAAGAAACAAATGTTTCAGAAAGAAAACAACTTAATAATTATTAGCAATTTGGAAGACATACAAAACTGGTCAGAAAGGAGTGGAAGGAACAGCTTGTGATACAACTTACTCTCCTATTAGGAGAGAGGTCCTTTTCCTCACCACTATAATCTAATATGCAGGGTATCAGAGCTGGGAACACTACCAGTGATATATCATCAGGGCTGACTCCATGATGTTTCAATTGAACCCAACCTTTACCCTCAAACAGAGCTCTGTCTTTTACAAAGCACAGGAGGTGATCCTCCCATCCTTTTGCCCGTGACCATCCAAGAAGCTGGAGATGTGGACATCTTGGATGTTCTGTATTTATTCAAAAGGAGAAGCAGTTTCCAATCCCCTGATGCTCTGATCATTTCCTTCCAGTCATGTGCTAAGGGTGAGAAGATATCTTCCTCTGACTAGATGTATTGCGGTTATGAGGATCTGGGGGTTCATGTAGTGGCGCACTCCTCTAGGCCACAACTGTAACACTGTCTACCAGTACTAACAGAAATCTGTAGGGAAGCCACATGGAAGTCACCCTCCACATTCATTAGAAATTACCAAATTGACAGCTTTGACTGAAGCCCCCTTCGAGTGGAGGGTGGGTCCTACTTTAGGTAGGTAAAACCTAAGTCACGGGGGCAGCAGCACTGCCTACTCTAATCAAGAAAGCTTTGGTAGGTCCCAAGTTACAGAATGTTCATCCCTTATCTGTAGAGAAAAGGAATGTTGGTTTTCATCTGCAATACATTTGTTTCATGAAAATCTTGTCTACTATGATGGGTGCTGGTGGGGGGAATGTGTCAAGAGTAGACTAATAGGAGAGAACAGCCATTTTATGCATGTCCTACAAATTGCAAATAAAGATATTAAGGTGTGTTATTTTATTCCTTCTTGGGTCATTTCTTTGGCTTGGTTCTTGGCCCTTCTAGGATTGCTCCCCCATTTCGGAACACCAGAAGGGCTTTCTTTTTCTTGGCCACTTGAGTGAGTGAAAGGAGCAACCAAAATTACGGGATCTGTTCCTGCCTTATCTGCTGAGGAAACTCTTAATTCCATAGACAAAAAAGAGATGCAGAGATAATACTACATAACTACATGTTAGCCAATTTTAAAAGATTGTGGGTGATTTAATTACCATGAAAAGTCACTGTAATACTTCCTTAGTTACTCGGGGTCTATAAATGTATCCCATGAGACTAAAACTGGCATACCACAATTAAACAACACAATATTAAGGAAATCCAGTGAGCTTCTCTCTCCCTATATTGCAATATTCATTGTCAAGGCCATTAGTTTAAACTAGCAGCTGGAAATTAGTTTAAACTAGGGTCACTATTTGTGTATATCTATACCGTGAGGCAGCCATGCTCCTGACTTCATTATTTTGAGTAAGTTTTCTCTAAGAAGAAAGAACGGTATGAGAACATCATATGTATATGTATGTGGAATGGGTGCATGATTGAAGAACTAAGCATGCTTCTAAGGAAGCTGTCAAGGTGTCCTTATAATCCAACAATACTCGGAAAGCCCTCTTGGTAAGCTTGCTAGAAAGTCTATTGGATGGTTATATCTGAAAGGAAGCCTGAACTGCTGGGAGCACAGGGGATGTGTGTCCTCCTATGGTGAACACTAACAAGCAGGCTTAACCAGCTGGCATCATCAAGAGATTGCAAAAGGAACGTCAGTTCATAGCACTGTATCCAATAGGAGAGGAAAGAAGTGAAGTGACAACAGTGTAGCAAAGGGATTTGCACCCTCCTCAGTTTTGCAGATAGGGTTGTTGTTTTTTTAAATGCAGTAGCTGTTACCTTTTGGAAATCGTTATTCTTGGCAGCTTCTATCAAAATATCATCTGCAAGGAGGAGAGACAGGTCAGGGTTACAAAATCAAGCAGGAGATAGGGAGAAAGGGTGGTGGGGAAACAGGTGGACAGAGGCTAAAGGGATTGTGACTGAGGTTCTAATCACCAACAAAGAAAGAAGCCACATGGATTACCTAATAAACTCAGGAGATGCTCATAATCTATGGAAAGAGTGTGTAAATTTATTTGCCCAATAACATGTTGGTAATATAAGGGCACTTTTACTGCTGTAGAACATCCTCTAGAACAGTGGTTCTCAACCTGTGGGTCCCAGGTGTTTTGGCCTACAACTTCCAGAAATTCCAGCCAGTTTACCAGATGTTAAGATTTCTGGGAGTTGAAGGCCAAAACATCTCGGGTCCCATAGGTTGAGAACCACTGCTCAAGAATGATTCTGCTTAAGTTCTCTAAAGGCCAATGTTACTTTTAATACACAGCATGCATCTGTATCTGTCCTTTTTTCCTACTCAAATGAATAGGAATTATTTGGATTCAAACCCCAGTGAACAAGAGTAGAGAGCATTAATCTTTAGTTCCATATTGTGTTCCCAATCCAGATTTCTCTCCACAACACAAAATTCACATTTTAAAAATTAACGTGCTCCTGTTCAATGGCAGACATGGGGCCCTCATACAGATCAGGAACCCAATAGGGGGACAAAGTGTTAATGCTTGGTCTAGAATTTTGTTTCAAAATAGTGCCCCACACTGACTTTTTAGGAAGCCCTCCTCAGCTATAGCGGTATATGCATTAAAGGTAAATTGTACTTTAGTCATTGGCATCTAGAAATGCCTGGAGTCTGGGAAAATGAAAAATGAGAATGGATTATGGAAGTCCACAACATATTTTATTTGAAGTCTGAAGACAGCATGATTAATGTTACCTCAGCATTTGCTGAACATACTGTTTTGCTGTTTGGGTCATTTCCTGTAGTTACTCTTCTGTGTATCATGAGAATGGGGGAGCAAGTATGTACATACTAAACACATGTATACACATAATGAGTATTCTTTGTGGCATTTCTTGATCTTTTCAGGTTTCTGGGCATTATGATTCCTTTCCTTTTGTTTCCAGGCCTTAATTAATAATAAGCTGTTGTTATATAGGTCTGGAAGGGATGAAGAAAGCTTCACAAGACTAAGGCAAATGAGGGAATCTGTAAGGAATTAAAAAAATAAACCCCAAAGGAAAATTAGAGGAATAAATAAGGTGGGAATCATAAACATTAAGGGAGAAAGCAAGACAAGAGAGGAACATACAAGCAAACAAGGCAATTTCAAATCAGAGCTTGGAAAAGTTTCTTTTGTGGACTACAACTCCCAAAAACTCTTAACCTGCATGGCCAGTGGTCATCCTAGTTAGAGTATTCTAGAACCTGTGGTCCAAAACTTTTCCAAGCTCTGTTTCCAAGGCACAATGTAATGAATGCTCAACAACAAGAGGTAAAGCAGAAAGAGTAAGCAGAGAAGGCAAAAAGCAGGTGTCCCCATGGAAACAGTGGATAGGGATGCCTCTTGTCAGTGACTCACTCACACTTCCAGGAATTCAGCTTTGTTCAAGCTCCAGAAAACACATTCTATTTGTTCAACCCAGGGAGGCCCCCGACCTTGTGCACATACCTTTGGGAAACTTCACTGGTGCCTGGCAGAGTCTAGCTCTGCTCCCTAACCGTGCATCCCAAGTCTCTACAGGTGGGAGATTAACCCTTCACCACGATGGTATTTCCTGCCACGTTTTATAAATGAGCTGAGGAAGACAGCTTGTTAAGCCAATGGATGTCAAATCTCACCCAGCCAGTAATTTCTGCAGCTGCTCCCTGGAAGGAATTTTCTGATCAGTGCCTTTGTAGCACTCAATTCTTGCAATATGAAAGTGGGAAATCTTTGGCCTCCAGGTGTTGTTCTGGATGACACTTTTTGCAGTATTTTATCATTGGCTGCGCTGGGTGGTGTTAACAGAGGCTGTTGGCCAAAACATGGGGAGGAGGGGAAGATTTCCCGTCCCTGTGGCTAGACAGCATGGAGAACAGCACAAAACTCCAATGCTTCTGCATGCCAGCACACTGTGCAGCTCTCCAGTCTGTCTTGTAACTTTTCCCCAGAGGCTCTACAGCTGAAATATATCCAGCTGTAGTTTGCTCAAGGCTAAATGTCAATTCCATCTCAAAGTATACTAAAACTCTTCTGTTTTCAAGCCTGGGCCAATTCCAGAGTAAGCTTTTGAGGCTTCACAGTCATAAGCAGCAATAATGCAAATGTAATTGTGATATGCCTTTCTCTTTATCTGTATATTAATTTGTGCTTTACTATAAATACTGACTGTTTTCCATCTCCAAATTAATACCAGCATGCCAGTTCCGTGAATCATCTAATGATAACTCCAAATTCCCTGAACTGGAAAAAGTATAATTTTCCAGGATGGGTTATTACCAAAATAGTTCCCAAAAGCTCCACTGTCCACCAGAAAGCACTTCTCTTGACAACCTCTACCCATCTGGATTTATTACAGCAATAATTAAAGTACAGCATAAGGCATAATAGAGATGTCCAAGATTAATGTAAAGGAGGTTGTGTTTAGTTGATTGTCTAATGTTTGCAGACACCCTTCAAGACGCATCATGCAAAAGGGAAAAAACCCATGTTCTTAGATTGTAAAGAGCAGAAATGGTGTTACATTGAGGGACTGAAGGATATAAACATGAAACATAAGCAAAAACAACCATGACCTGAACAAGAGCTAGAGAAATTATGTTGAAAGCCCATCTTGAGAGTTACAAGCCTCACCTTTGAGTGAGTAGCTGTTCTCCATTTCGGACCTGGGAAAATAAAACAAAGATGCAAAGCTCAGATTAAGTCACAAGTCTCTTTCTCAATTTTCCCAGTGCCTTCCTCTACAGCCAACCAACCAGCCACCAACTCCTTTATCTAAATGCTAAGCTTAATTATGCTAGTAATATAATTAATAGGAGCTCCCACAAATTTAGACTTTTGGTCTACTTATGTGATCAGGGGAGTGGAAAGGTTGAAGGGAATTCAGATCCTATATGGTTTACCCCCATCAGTCACTTTGTTCTGCAATGCCTGATCTGTATATTTCTATTTCTCTTATTTATTTCTTTAGAGTACTTATATTCCGCCCTTCTCACCCCGAAGGCGAGTCAGGGCAGATCACAGAACACATTTATGGCAAACATTCAATGTCGATTATACAATGACAAGACAGACAACAGATAGAGATATATTTAGGCTTTTTCTCATCATTTGGCATCTTTTGGAGGCTGTGCTCAGTTCTGGCCACAGGGGGTGCTATCGCTCCATCTCCTTGCCGAAGAGCTTTCTTTGTTCATAAACTTTCCTCCAAAATGCTGTGCCTAAGATACCTCCCCGCTTAATGCAGTTCCTATTCATCTACTCTCATTGATGTTTTGAACCCGCTAGGTGGGTGGGGGAGCTGGGCTGAAGTTCAGGAGCTCATCCTGACTCGGTTTTGAACTGTCAACCTTTCAGTTGAAGGTCAAGAGCTCACCCTGACCCAGCTTTGAACTGTCAACCTTTTAGTTGGCAAGATTTACTGCACCTGCAGCTGGTGTTTAACCTATTGTGCTAAAGCCGGCCCTTGGATCAATTTGCTACTCATTTTTCAGCGCAGGTTTGGTACATAAGATTTATTTCTGAGTCTATTTCAATTCCGTGAAGCTTAAAATAATTTTCAACAGAATCTAGCAGATAAATTGCAGTTATTTACCAAGAGACCAAAAAGGCTATCTGTTGGGAACGGTTTGATTGTACATTCCAGCATGGCAGGGAGTTGGTTGCATGGCCCTTGTAGACCCTTTCAACGTTATGATTTTACGATAAAAACAGTCAAAGCCTGCAAACATAACATGCATTCTTTGCCTCTGTTCATCCTTAAATTACTCTTTCTTTAGGACTTTTCCCCAACCTTGCCAGATCTTTCTTACCTCCCAGTAACCAAGCAGACAGCCTCACCTGGAATCTGATGTTGTGGATGGTGAAACTGAGAGAGAAGGGTGTTGCCTGGTGGGGGTTGAGGGCACATCAACAAGGTCAGGCATGGCAGGTGATGTGCCTACTGTCTGGGTGCGCACAAGTTCTGGGTCCAACACGAAGAGTTCATCTTGGGAGATCTCAGTTACATAATTAAGATGTTCCTGAAATGGTATATGAGCCAATCATTTCAAGGATAACATTTCCTTATACTAAACTGCTGCTCTCCAAATACATCCATCATTTCTAGTTTGGAGAAAGATGCATTAAATAGTTAAGAAATTAGGAAAAGTCAGAAACTTGCAATATGGATAGCAACACAGTACGCTATCACTTGAACAAAATCCAACGAAAGCTTGGGGCTTTTTCTTTCTTTTAAGAACACAGCATCCTTATTACAGTGGTGGTAGTAGTGGAGGATTGAAGGTATGAAGGGGAAAACCTTATATAAATTCAGGGGAAATGATTACATATAAACAGGGATTATGTTATTTCTACATGGTAATAATCTTAGTAAAAATAACTCAATTCTTGTTTCTATTGTGTAATTTCTTCATGGTAATAATCTTAGTAGAGCCCCGGTGGCACAATGGGTTAAACCGGTGGTTTGGCCTTCAACTCCTGAGTTGCCTGAGTGCTGAGAAGGGCGGTATACAAATATAGTAAATAAATAAAATAAACTCCCAGAAATCCACCTGCCAAAACACCTGGGGACCCATAGGTTAAGAACTACTGGGTTAAACCCTTGTGCCGGCTGAACTGCTGACCAAAAGGTTGGCGCTTCGAATCTGGGGAGAAGGGTGAGCTTCCACCTGTCAGCTCCAGCTCCCCATGCGGGGACATGAGAGAAGCCTCCCACAGGGTGATAAAACAGCAAACATCCGGGCATCCCCTGGGCAGATAGCCAATTCTCTCACACCAGAAGTGACTTGCAGTTTCTCAAGTCACTCCTAACACACACAAAAATCTTAGTGGATAATGTTTTAACCTATTTATTTTAATATCTATATCCACAGATTTTAATTAAGTGTCGTCTATAAAACTGATTTGGATGGTTGTATATCCTAGACTTTCTGCTTTTGATGTTTTGAACTTCTGATTTTAACATTTTAATGTTTTAAACTCCTGGTCTGTGACTGTAATAATAAAATTCATTCATTATTTCTCCAAGGTATTGTTTTAAACTCTTCTGCTTGTATAAACTCTTCTGCTTGTATGACAAGCAGAAGAGTTTAAAACAATACCTTGGAGAAATAATACACTTTACATTTGTACTCTATTTTCTAATTGATTAAGAAAATCATTCCCAGAAAAAAGAAGAAAAAAAACCAGATCGTTGGAAATCCTACATGAAAATCTCAAAAAGTAGCTAATCTTATATATCTGTTTACTTATTTTTTTCTATATTTTACTCACTGGGTTTTTTCAAACCCACATAACTCCAGATATCTTGTTTACTAACTGTAAAAAGCTTGAACTATCCTATTATTATGATTGCAGTATACTAGTGCTACAAAAAGGTACTGTACTGTATATACTTGACTGCAAATTGATCTCCTGAGTAAGCCGAAGGCAGGTTTTAGGAACAAAATTACAACATTTTCTGTGACTCATGGAGAAGTTGAGGGCAAAACCTGGTGGCATGTAACAAATAAACCTTCTCCTCTAAAAAGGAGAGGATCTATTTACTTAAGAAGCTTCTGACTCTGCAGAGGCACCTTGCTCAGGACTGGAGATGGAGGGAGAGGAAGGGTGAGGTAGTCAACTGACACTTGTTGCAATGGTTGCTGTCATCTCTCTCCACCTCATGCCCCACAAATAGTGGGGAGCATGAAGCTCACTGAACTGTTGTCATTGTTGTAATCTATTTCCAGCACTGACCCATGGACAAACCCGTAGAGTAGATATAGTATGTAATTTCACTGGAGATAATAAATACTTTTACTGCAGGCCTAAAATATGAACATGTAAACCTCCCAATTTCCAGGGGCATTTTCTCTAGACCCACCATGAGAAGGTGTCTTAAATATTTCTTCACCCAAGTGGATCAAGTATAAAAGGAAAGGGATTATCGAGAAAAGTCTAGGAGTTTTTGACTGCAGGAAACAAATACCTGTAGCCTCAAGACTGAATCCCTTTACTCAATAAATATAATCATAGGGCTTGGGATATTTAACGGAAATGAAAACCAAGATGTCTGCACGCTGCTGAGGAGATGGCATAGCCAAGTCCACAGAGAATGTATAGTCAAACAACCACAGTCTATGGAACAGAAACAGGATCTCACCTGGGCACGGTCTATTCTATAAAAACGGTCTGCTGTTGTTGCTGCAAGAGAAAGACAAAAGAGTACTTATTTATGTAGTGTCTTAGAATTCAAAACAGTTCACATACATTATCTCAGATGTGATAAAAGGCGGCATCTTTCACATACTGTAGAGGCAAAGTTGAAGTAGAGAGTGTAGACGCAGGCTTGATGATATTTAAGAATATGGTTTAAGAGGGCATAATGTATTAGAAAGCCTCTGAATGATTTGGGTCACTGGTATAAACTATGGAGGAATTAATACTACATTTTGGGAATATCAACACAGGTAGATGTGGAAGCACCATAACATAGTGCCTCCTACTTCTAGCTGGCACAACCAATCCATAGGGGTGTTGTTATAATTTTATGTGACTTGTTTTATACTTTTGTACTGTTTTTACCGGTTGTATGTTATACGTGCACCCTGGAGTGCTTTGTAAACCACCCCGAGTCCCTTCAAGGAGATAGTGGCAGGATATAAATAAAGATTTATTATTATTATTTATTTATGACCAATGGTATCAAAAGCTGTTGAGAGATTCAGGATGATAAATGAGTTAGCACTCCTTGTCTTTCAGCTAGAATAGGTAGTCATTCATGGCAACTATGGCTATTTTGAGATGTTACTCAGGTCAGAACTGTGTCCAGATGACATTTCTTCCAAGAACACCTGAAGTTGCTCTGCCATCACTTGCTCCAGGAAATATTAGTGATGGCAGTAGCTCTCATACCCCTTTAATGGGTTGGAGTGGACTGTTTAGAGCATATTCAGCTGTTAGGAATTGTGGGAGTTGAAGTCCAAAACACCTGGAGGTCGAAGTTTGCCCATGCCTGATCTAGCCTTTGTTCAAAGTAGCACAAAAAGTGCTCTCTCCGTGAAATAAATTTCAATTATTTTATTTTGTTTTTATCACTTTTCTCCCAATATGGGCCCTACGGCTCACAACATAAACTAAAAAAAATGTTGCTAGAAGCAATAGTAAGAAAACAATTAAAAACAATGAAACTCTATTAAAACAGCACTTATTTAAAACTGTTTAAAACATTTTCAATATAACAATAAGGATAAACATTTTTCCACTACAAGATCCACAGCAACCAGTTAATAGCTAAAAGCTTCTCTGATGATATAAAACAAATTTAGACTTATATGAGCTCCCCTCTAGCAGTGAAATGTATTTATTTTGATGAGAGGCAATGTGTTCTGTGTTCATGTATTCCATATTTTGAAAGTTACCATGACAGTTATCTACAATATGTGTTAAGAAAAGCTGAATTTTATGATTTAACTTTTATATACCAAAGAAATTAAACATATGCACATATATGAGCTATTTAGATTTGCTCTTCTACTAGTCAGGAGAAAATGGAATGTGGAAATGAAAGCACTGAAGCAATAAGTAAGTGATTACTGGTAGAATCCTGTATGATTATTATGTACTAAGCACCATAACTATGGTGATACATAGTGGATTATGGCCAGATACTCCCCTCTCCACTCTTTGGTAACTAAATACTGAAATCAACTGGGGTCTAGTCCCTTGCTGATTGAGAAGCAGCTGTCTGACAGTCCCACCCCTTCTCATGAGAGGTCTTGGATGCAACAAGGAGAAAAAGGACTCCCATCACGCTGGAGTTTATTGTATAGCAGTAGGGACATCAGACAACTATTTAGATAATCAACAGAGAATTCCAGCTGCTGCATTCTGGTAAATGTAACCCCTAAACTAAGGGCTATGTAAGGACTGTGAATACATAGCACTTACAGATGCATAACAGTAGGTTACTTATTTATAACCACCCTACAGAATTGTATCTACATAACTGACTTGTCTGCTATACAAGACAAATCTCAAATGCCTCTCTGAACAAAGAAATATGTCATGTCAGGGAGAAAGCTAGGCTACAACACTCTCCTTTAACAGCTTGTTTTCTGTGTGAGGAAATCTAATTTAGATTCTGGTTTACTACCTTAATCAGAAATAGTTCTTAGAATGGGATACCAACATTCAACGCCGTGTGAGTAGAGCACCATAAACTTCAAATACAGAAACTTTCAAAAAGAGCAGTAAGTATACAAAGTATTTGTTGAGATGAAAAATTAATTAAAGGTGAAGAGGAAAGAAAGAAGTTATCATTGAAGAAGCCAATGCTGGTTTTGCCAGCCACACTACAAACTTTATTGCAGATTCTGCTTATACATCTAACCATCTATTGTTTCTGAATGGATGTGGAGTGAAAACAATTCTCTTGGCACTTTCCTTTGAATACATTTCACATCAGTCAAAATGGTTGATCAGGAAACTCTTAAATATCCTGTAATACTCATTAGCTGCTAACCTGAGAATCAAGATAGATGAACATTTCCAGGCATGGCCTCCTAGTCTTTAGGTCCATATGTGAAGCAAGTGAGAACACATATTTGAACAAACTGTTGAAATGTGTATTTCAGAATCACCTCTCAATATTTATCTGAAGATAAAGAGGAATTCCATTCTGATTTCCGAAGTCAAGCAGCACCCAAAACTGCTTTTCAGAAGAATTTCCACTGTCTACTAGTGGAGCCCATAGTCTTTCCCAAAAAGAATGCCAGTCTAGACACATCTGGATTCCAATAAGCATTCCCTTTACAAAAATCACAAACTTGTATGGGGAGTGTCCATTCTCCTAACTTTAGACCTATGTTTTTACAGCAAAAGCTTTACAACTGTGACTTCCAAAAAGTGCCCCTGCAAATGGCAAGAAATAACTGCTCTCAGTCTGCTGCAGTATTTATTAATGGAAGATACTTGAAAATAGCCTTTTAGGGAAAACTCTCCAGTGGTAAAATATAGGAAAATTTAAAACAAAATATAATAAAAACACAATTACAGCAATAAATCTGCATATGTGTACATATTTCTAAATCTTGTAGGACTATCTGTGTACAAGGACAAGTATGCCTGGGTCAAATAACGCTCAACACATTAGTGCAGGTGTAGGGATACTACTGTGCTACTTTAATATCCCTACACCAACATGCTACCCCTCTATTCATGCTACCCCTTTATTCTGACTTGGTCAGACCACACCTGGAATATTGTGTCCAATTCTGGGCACCACAATTGAAGGGAGATGCTGACAAGCTGGAATGTGTCCAGAGGAGGGTGACTAAAATGATCAAGGGTCTGGAGAACAAGCCCTATGAGGAACGGCTTAAAGAGCTGGACATATTTAGCCTGAAGAAGAGAAGGCTGAGAGGAGACATGATGGCCGTGTATAAATATGTGAGGGGAAGTCATAGGGAGAAGGAAGCAATCTTGTTTTCTGCTGCCCTGGAGACTAGGAGACAGAACAATGGCTTCAAACTACAGGAAAGGAGATTCCACCTGAACATTAGGAAGAATTTCCTGACTGTGAGAGCTGTTCAGCAGTGGAACTCTCTGCCCTGTGATGAAGGCTCCTTCTTTAGAGACTTTTAAGCAGAGGCTGGATGGCCATCTGTCGGGGGTGCTTTGAATGCGATTTTCCTGCTTCTTGGCAGGGAGTTGGATTGGATAGCCCATGAGGTCTCTTCCAACTCTAGGATTCTATGATTCTATAACATCCCATTGTTTGGGAGGAAGCCAGCTTGAAGTTCACCTGCTACTGCAGGTCATGGCTGATGGAGACAGAAAACAGGGTATGAGCCATGGTAGTGCCCATCCCTTTTCTGCTAGGACTTCTTTGTGATCTGTGGAAAGACTTTAAAGTCACCTGTTGCTTTGGATCCCCCTTTGACAATGAAACACATTAAAAGTTTTGAAGGAATGGCTCGATAGGGGCAAATGAAATAAACCTGTATCCATCAATACAAATCCAGTTTAGACTCTCATTTTGTTGATGGTGGCATCATGACCTAAATGCCACTGATGTCATAAATTGGGGGTGGAGTACAGGAAAACAGCTCAAGTAAGTGAATCTTTTGGACTGGGGAGGGGTTGCTATCAACTTTGGTTTCCAGAAGGCTGAAGAGTGCTTTGGTAAGTCTGAGGTTGCTATGGCTGGGGGCGACAAAGACTGGGGAATTTTCCTTGGGAATAGGGGCAGAAATGATGGAGGGAGGGAGGGGTGTCCATGACACAAGCCAGAGCAGATTAGAAGACTGAAAGAGCCTCGTTTATCCTGTCCTGGGGAGAGATTTACAGCCGCAGAGCTGTTGATGAAGGCCAGTAATTCAACCATTTTAATGAGCCTGCAGTTGCCCTTGAATGCCACTCCAGTCTTTTCCATTGACACATTTTCCTCAATTTGGAACATGCTGCTGGGAAACTGGCAAAAAAGAAGAAAATAATCTACAGCAGCAATATCTGTGAACAGTCTCCTTATATGTAGGCACAGAGGCGACTGCCTCCTCTCAGTGGGATCCCACAACCAAACATCCACTCTCTGTCTGTGTGTATTGATAATTTCACATCCTTTGGATCAGAGATAACAGATAATGATGTGCATTTGGAAGAGTGATTTCCTCTCATTCTGGAGACTGAGGAATGAGATGAAGTTAACAGTTTAGTAGCTGACACAGATGCAATGTCAGCACTATACAGCTTCTTGAGAACTGGGCTAGGAAGAGGAAGGATGGTCATATTTTAAAAAGCAGACAGTTGGCACCACAATAGTGTCAGAGGTCAGTTTGTAAAAAGAAGAGCTATCTGAAGAAAGTAGATAGTACATTCTCAAGACCTTACAAAAAGCGGCCATCTTGGCAGTATAAAAAATCATAAACCCATGTTGTGATAATATTTTTATTTGGCTAATCAAAACAGTTTTTGGGTTTTTTTTCTTTGATTAACTGATTATCATTGCACAGATTTTGGAATTCTGCACTCTCTAAAGTACTGGCTTGAAGTAAAATTGCTCTCTACCATAACTACCTTCAGGCTTGGTTTGACCTTGGCCCACCTACTTTAGTTTTCGGCTCTCGTTAGGAATCCTTTTGCCTATGCACAATTATATTATCATGATTCCATTTTAACTTTAGCTGGAGTTCTGGGATTTGCAGTTTAGATAGGGACATTTCCTGTCCCAACGCATCTCCCCCTGTGAACCATCGCGGAGATTAAAATCCTCCGGGGAGGCCCTGCTTTCCGTCCCGCCATTGTCACAGGCACAATTGGTGGGGACGAGAGACAGGGCCTTCTCGGTGATTGCTCCCCAGCTATGGAACTCCCTTCCTGGTGAGATCAGGTCAGCCCCCTCTCTCCTGTCCTTTAGAAGGATGGTAAAAACTTGGCTGTGTGACCAGGCTTTTGGGACAGGGCAATAAAGCAGCAATAGGAAAGATTACCAGACCAATTAGATTTCACGTGGATGACTAGGACAGTTTTAAATGGTGTATTTTAATATTTTGATAAATGTCCTTAATGTTTATGTATGTATATAAGAACTTGTGTCCCGACATTGAATGTTTGCCATATATATGCTGTGCTCTGCCCTGAGTCTCCTTCGGGGTGAGAAGGGCAGAATATAAATGTTTTAAATAAATAAATAATAAATAAATTTCTCAGTCAAAGTTCTAATGCTTTATTAAACTACAAACCCTAGATTTCCATAGGATGCACCCATGGTAGCTAAAATGAAATCAAAGTGCTATAACTGTATAGTATGAATGGGCCCCAAGACCCTCCTGAGTTGGTATTAAATTCCCCTGCGACAGGTGCACTTCTCATCCATTGGGCCGCAAAGGTTGTTGGGACTTGCAGTAGCCACAGCAGGGGGGAGGCCTGCTGTTGTCTTTGAGGCCCAGTGCAGCAAATGAGCCCAGTAGGCCATGCAAGCCACTCCCTGTGTGTTTGGGAACTCATTCCAACATTGCTACAGGGACACAAAAGCCCCTATTGTTCCAGCCTGTGGGAGAGTCTCAGAGTTTTGATCAAACCAAACTGAGAAACTACAGGGAAAAAATGCACTACTAAAAGTGAAATGTGTGGCTTGGAAGGCTTTAGGAACACAGCATCAGACCTTCAGGTGGGGGGGCAGAAAGAGGAAAAATAGGGTCTGAGAAAAGCACTGAAACAAAGCCATGTTTGTAAACAAGCCTCTGTTGCCCTGCCGAGCTCTTGGGGGTTCTTGCAAAAACACAGCTGGTTGGATTGCAAGCCCAGCAAGGGAAAAATCCAAAACAAAACCATTCACTCGTCTTTCTCCTTGTCTCATTACTCTCCCAGGGCCAAAGTGGTAATTGAATTTGATGTACAAAAGGTAACACTGAACACCAGCGTATTCACCGATCCCAGCAAGCACATTATCCCCGCACCTTTGCCTACAGAGCCATCTGCTGGAGAGCAACAAGATGACTAAAGCTGAGAAGGGACAAAGAAATGGCAATACTCAATATACAATATACTCAATATACAATATACTAAGTCAAATATACGTGCAAGGTATTCCCCCCCCCCCACTCAAATGTATCAATCCCTGGGGGGTGGTACTCATCTCCATTTCTAAGCCGAAGAGCCAGCATTGTCCATAGAGACCTTCAAGGTCATCTGGCCAGCATGACTGCATGTACACATGCAGCCAAAGTGGTACCTATTCATTTACTCACATTTGCATGTTTTCGAACTGCTAGGTTGGCAGAAGCTTGGGCTAACAGCAGGAACTCACCCTGCTCCCCAATTCAAACCACTGACTTTTTGGTTAGCAAGTTCAGCAGTTTAGCAGTTAAACCCGCTGCACCACCAGGGCTCCAAGTAAATACATACACATTTCATTTTAATTTACAATTTTATATAAAGTGTTCAAATTGTCATCCCTAGGCAGCAAGGCACTGATCAAACTGTTGAAGAAAGAGTTACAAACTACATTAGATGTTTCTCTTGAAATTTCACAGCACTTTTCTACTATTAGGATTTTTAATCCGTTTCAAGATGTGTACATTTTTTGAAAACAAATTCTGGAATCCCTCTCCTCCCCCTGAATTATATAAATGGTTATGAGTGTGTACATTTTGGTTTACCCTATATGTTACTTAGAGGCCTGTTATCCCGCTTCTGTCTCTAGTGCTTAGAGCCAATCATAATAGATGCAAATAACAGAAAATTGTAAAGCCTTTTTAACATGCATGTAAAATAAAAAATAAAACTGATGAAACAGTCAGATAATTTCCGCTAAAATGTTGGCTGGTGGTTGGGGAGCGGAGGGCCTGAGTTTCCACCCCAGACCTCACCATTATCTACAACCCCATCCAAGTATATAAACACATTTTTGCCCTCCATTTCTCCTTTAAAATGGTAATCTGAAATAATATCACAACATATTTTCAGGAAGACATGGGGGAAAGGAAGTATTTGAGAAGAGGTAGACATTTGGTTGGGGGGCGGGTAGAAGATTTATATTTGTGTGTGTGTATACACTGTGGGGTTCTGGGTATGATTTGGGGGAGTTTTTAACCTGAGCACACTGATTTTCTAACAGGTGAGTTCAGGACTAGTGTGAAGCTTCTAGGGCCTGGAAAAATTGGCTTCAGAGTTACATGTGGTCTGCCGACTGCACCTTTCATATCCCCACTTTGGCTGGACTTCCAACGTAAGGTATTTCAGTGATGATCCAGGAGTCTATTTTAGAACCAAGTGAGATTCAGTACAGGCTAGGTATAAGCAAGTATACTAGAGGTAAAAGTACTAAGTACAAGAGCTGGATGAAGTCTGTCCCTCCCGTCTATCAATCAAAATTGAGAATAGTAAAACATCCGGGCATCCCATGGGCAATGAGTCCTTCAGAGAGAACAAGTCACAAGTGTTCTATGTATTGTTGAAGGCTTTCATGGCCAGAATCACTGGGTTGTTGTAGGTTTTTTCGGGCTATATGGCCATGGCCTAGAGGTATTCTTGCCTGCATCTATGGCAAGCATCCTCCGAGGTAGTGAAGGTCTGTTGGGACTAGGAAAAAGGGTTTATATATCTGTGGGATGACCAGGGTGGGACAAAGGACTCTTGTCTGTTGGAGCTAGGTGTGAATGTTTCAACTGACCACCTTGATTAGCATATAATGGCCTGACAGTGCATGGAGCAAACTTTTGTTGAGAGGTGATTAGATGCCCTTGTTTGTTTCCTCTCTGTTGTTGTGCTGTTGTAATTTTAGAGTTTTTTAAATACTGATAGCCAGGTTTTGTTCAATTTCATGGCTTCCTCCTTTCTGTTGAAATTGTCCACATGCTTGTGTATTTCAATGGCTTCTCTGTGTAGTCTGACATGGTGGTTATGAGAGTGGTCCAGCATTTCTGTGTTCTCAAATAAAATGCTGTGTCCAGGAAAGAGGAAACAGAAAGGAGGAAACCATGAAAATGAACAAATATTCAGGCGAAATGTCAGGAGAGAATGCCTCTAGACCAGTGGTTCTCAACCTGGGGTCCCCAGATGTTTTTAGCCTTCAACTCCCAGAAATCCTAACAGCTGGTAAACTGGCTGGGATTTCTGGGAGATGTAGGCTAAAAACATCTGGGGACCCGAGGTTGAGAACCACCAGTCTAGTCCATGGCCATATAGCCCAAAAAAAACCTACAACCCACAGATGTTCTGTTTGAAGACATATAAGATCTCATCTCCCAGCTGTAACAGCTCTGTTGTGACTTGTCACATATTTGACTTTAGCCTGAATAGTAGGCATCATAAGATTTGGAAGGAGCCCCTGTTTGCATAGTGGGTTAAATCCTTGTGCTGGCAGAACTGAAGACTGACAGATCAGAGGTTCAAATTCGGGGAGAGTGGGTTGAGCTCCCTCTGTCAGCTGCAGCTCCCCATGTGTGGAAATGAGAGAAGCCTCCCACAAGGATGATAAAACATCCGGGCGTCTCCTGGGCAACATCCTTGCAGACAGCCAATTATCTCACACCAGTAGTGACTTGCAGTTTCTCAAGTCACTCCTGACATGGAAAAAACCCCCCCAAAAAACAACAACCCAGGGTTGAAAGATTCTGGAAGTTGAGGTTCAAAAAGTAATATTTCTCATCTATAAAAGCTGGTATATATTTACACAGCCGCTACACATGCACACTTATACATACATATGTACTTACAGTCCAAGAAACACCACTTAGGGGATAGCTTCTGGCATGACAGTGTCTTTGGCTTGGCTCCATCCCCTTCCTGCATAAAAAGGAATCAAATATCTCAAGTCTTTTTTCCATCTTGGTCGCATTTGCAAAAATCTTTTTTGGTTTGTTCATATACAAGTAGCTCATTTGGATTTTGACAGCAACTAACAGGCACAAAGCTATAGTACATGGATAAGACTCAGAACAGATGTACTGCATGTCACCAAACAGAAACTGATGGAAGCTTATCATGCAGGACAGAGGCAAGGAAAGAGGGAAAGGAGGGATCTCAACAAGGGGAAAAGGCAGAAGATACACACCTGAGGAAATAGGCTCTGAATAGTGGGAGGGCATGGAGGGAAATCCTGTGGAAAGGGAGGAGCTGAGTTAACCGAGTTATGACACAGCTATAGCTCTCCCAAAGGAACATGTGGATAGCCTCCAATGCACCCATATTAGTTTGCACCATCCAAACCATTGAAAGCAAATAACCCCAAGTGCAATAAAGGGATTTTTAAGACAGGAGAAGAAATAATGAAACAATGTGCTTAGAAACTATGAGTCCAACCCCTTCTCCCCTCCCAAACAACCATGAAACAATTTAACCATGGTTGTTTTATGTAATTGACCTATGGCTAAAATAAACCTTGTGAAGTTCAGGGCTTTTCCACACCAAACACTAGTAAGATCCAGTGAAGGGTGCATATATGGTAGCCAGAAAGAGCAAACAACCAGCCACCACTGATTATTATTAAAATTTTAATTAGGTAGATTGAGGTTTCATAGAAATCCTTAGGGGTCACAAAAATTGTATTTACAAATGCTGCACTTTGCTCACCCCTGCTCTAGAAAGTGGCTTTCCCCTTGTGTTAATGTCATTGAAGCAATGGAAGAAGCCAGCAGGATTTCACAGCTAAAAGGAATTTAGGTGTACTAATTATGCAGAACTTCTGAAAGAACTGGAGGCTGCACAATAGGATTCCAATTGTGACAGAACAGAAATCAATGCAAATAAAACAGACAAAGGTTTAACATGTTAACACTTTCTACAGATTTGTAGAATGAATCTTTTTGTTATAAATAACTTGACATTTTTTCCAGAATGTTAAAAGGGAGGTGGCCGATCTAATATCTATAGGGAGGACGTTCCACAGCCAAGGAGCCACCGCCAAGAAGGCTCTGTCTCTCGTCTCCCCCAAACATACTTGTGACAAAGGCGGTAATGAGAGCACGGCCTCCCCAGATGATCTTAGAGTCCTATATGGTTAATAAGGGGAGATGTGTTCAGCCATGTAAGTTGGGCCAGAACCGTTTGGGGCTGTATAGGCTAAAGCCAGCAATTTGAATTGTGCCCGGTAGCAAACTGGCAGCCAGTGGAGCTGGCGCAACAGAGGAGTTGTACACTCCCTGAGCGCCGCTCCTGTTATGTATTGTAATGTCCATATTACTATTTTCAATCTGTTCCAGTCAGGGTGGTTTACAAAAAACACTCTACTCCCCTTTCCCTTAAATCTATAGAGCACACAGTGTCCTTTTTAACTGTTTTCTTTGGATTTTTCCCTTGATAAAGAGTATTAGGTTAACAGCTATTCCGTTCTATTCATGGCTTAAAGATTCAAAAGGCTAGACAATTTCCCCAACTTGGTAACACTGAAATGTGCTCAACAATAACTCCCATTACACCTAAAGGATGTTTGCTGGATATGGTGGGCGTTACAGTCTAGGGTCTTTAGGGGAGGGGGGCAAATGGGAGGGGGGCTGATCTAGACACACTCAGAATCTAAACAAAGAGCAATAACAAAACAGTAGTTTTATTCGCTTTGGGATGGAAGCAGAGCAAACTACTGCTGTTCAATCAAGCACCAACATTCCCATGAGGAGCAATACTATAGAAGTAAGAGCATTTTAGCAACCTGCCAATTAAGGAGTAGTAAAATTGTGCCAAGGCTGCACCCTTTTTCCTTGCCAAAAGTTTCTGAAGTAACTTACCTCCTGAAGCCTCTCAATGTGTGTCCGGCACAGCTCCAGGTCACTGTCTCCTGGCACAACAATGATTCCCAGGGGCACAGCTGAAGAAGTGAAACCGGGAAACATCATTTAGACTGCTAAACAAATTCACAATAACCCAACCTCTCAAATATTCACTGAGCAGACGTTAGGAGGTAATTCATGTGTGCAGCCCACATACAGAAAGTAGTGCATTGTACCATCAAACAATGCACATGAGAAACAGCCTGTCTGAAAGCACTCCTGGGAGAAACACTGTACATATGGAAATCTAACACACCACGGACAAAGGCCTAGAGAAGACAGCTTTTCCCATAGATGTTTTCACTTTTCAAGTACAGGTAATTCAGATGAGGGCTCTTTCAAACAAAGCAGTTTCACAAGACAGTATCATTTCATAATTATCAAGCAAATTAAGTTAAGAAAATCTGAATAGGTAAGGTGACAGAAGGTGAAATAATATCTTGTTTCTAACCATGTAACATTGTCCTGTTATAACCAAATGTGTTTAGCTACAGTTGGCCCTCCATATGTGTGAACTCCACATCTGCATATTCAACCAATCACAGATCTGAAAGCTCCCTTTGCTTACTCTTTGATGTTGGAAATTGAAGAGGTTGTGTTGCCCACAGAGAGCTGGGAATAAGACAGTGTGGTCCTTGACACTTCTGCTTTGTGCCTATGGTTACTGGATGATCAGCGAAGGGCTTTTCACAACTGACTGACATACAATCCAAATCAGGCTGCTTTGTTGACCATTTTATTTAGATTTTAACATATAGGGCATAAGTACCTATGTATCTTGGAATCTGTGGGGGCTCTGGGACCAATCCTTCATGGATATGGAAGGCTGATCAGATAGGCTATTGGCTCAATGTTTCAGAAAGTTCCTTCAGGCTGCTTTATCCTCAACACCACAACACCCTGGATTTCAGTGCAACTACTCACAGGCTTCCTTGAGCTTCTCCTTGTCATAATGAAGTGCCTCATAGTCGTGCATGCCAATTCGGCTTACGCGGATTCTCAGCCGTTCTGGAACTGGCTGCTGACTGTTTGCACAACAGGAAGGAAAAAAATTGTGGAATAATTATCTTTGAACTACTGAAAGTGAGAAGATGGCAGGCAGGTGAGGAAGAGGAAACAAGGGATCTATGAGCTAGCATTTTAAAAAAAAGCCTCCTAGTAATAAGAGCTATTAACAGCATTGACCTTGCTTGTGCACAAGGGCTACTTCCACAGAACAGCATTTACAATGTATAAGGTAACATCTACAGTGAAGTTTCCTTTGGTTTAGCATCCATTCTTCAGAATGGAGGTTAGCATGCTGCAGGCAACCCTTAAAAAGCATAGGGGAAATGGATAGAGAGAGGACATCAATATGCCCACTTCTCCAACTCTCTGAACCAACCCAGTTCTTGTGGGTTTTTTCGGGCTATATGGCCATGTTCTAGAGGCATTTCTCCTGACGTTTCGCCTGCATCTATGGCAAGCATCCTCAGAGGTGAGGTCTGCTGGAAATAGGAAAAAAGGGGTTTATATATCTGTGGAATGACCAGGGTGAGACAAAGGGCTTTTGTAAGTTGGGCTGGGTGTGAGTCTTTCCACTGACCACCTTGATTAGCAAAAAATGGGCTGACAGTGCCTGGAGCAAACTCTTCTTGAAAGGTGATTAGATGTCCCTGCCTCTCTGAACCAATCTCATTACTATTCTACATTTCTCAGCATCAGTCTCATTATCATTCTACATTTATGATGCACATGCCTAAATAGGAAGTGAGTTATGATTGTTAGCTTCCTTGATACTTTTTCTTTTTCATGTAACAATAGACAATACAGTCTGGAAGGGGGCTCCATAACTGAGAAGAGCTGGGGATGTAGGGAAATGTTGCAATTCCTGCACTACAACAGCAGATGGAAGCACAAAGGGAGCAAGGTTTTATACTTAACAACATTCAACTTCACCATATTTATGGAGCTGTTTATAGTAAAGGTAAAGGTTTCCCCTTGACATTACATCTTGTCATGTCTGACTCCGGGGGGTGGTGCTCATCTCCATTTCTAAGCCTTTACCTTCCTGCAGAAGCTGTACCTATTGATCTAATCACATTTGCATGTTTTTGAACTGCTAGGTTGGCAGAAGCTGGGCCTAACAGCGGGAGCTCACCCCGCTCCCCGGATCTGAACGGCCAACCTTTCGGTCAGCAAGTTCAGCAGCTCCGTGGTTTAACCTGCTGCGCCCCCAGGAGGCAAATATTTTAATTTTGTCAAATTTCATACATTTTTGTTTTTCTTAGATTTTGCTTTTTGATGGATTCTGATGTATTGTAATCTAGCACACACTGCTGAAATAAAGTTAGAGAGAAATCAACTGATCTAAACTCAAGTAATTCTTGTGATCACGAAGTCCTCCTTCTATAAGGAACAGGAAAATAACAAGACAACAGGGAAGACATTTTCCAAATCATGAAGACTTTAGCTTTTAACTTGTAAAGTGACCTTCATCCCTTGAACCACAGCCCCAAGGATGTCCCACCCAACTATCAGCATCATATAAAACGTACTCATTGAGCAGAGGCATGGAGTTGCGCCTCTTGGTCTTCTGCACCATGTTAGCCTGGTTGCGCAGGGAAATGTGAATACGGGAAGCTCCCAGCTTACAAGGCTCTCCATCCACTTGCATGGGAATGGCCTTGGATGTGGTGAGTAGCACCTCCCGGCACTGGTGCAAGCGCTCTCCATGGCCTCCCACCTGCAGCGCCGCCTGTAAAAGGAAGAACTGCATGAACTGGAAGGAACATAATGCAGTTTGAATTAGAGGTGTTACAGGTGAGCTGAACCTGGGCAGGAAAACAATTGCATATCTATCCACTAAGAAGATGCAGCCCAGAGGCTTATAGGACAGTTACACTCTTGACTTCCATATCAAAGAAATACACTGCCCATGATGTGTACTGATAAGTGTTAGCAGGGATGATAACAACAACAACAACAACAACAACAACAAAATAACACTTTATTTATAGGCTGCCCTATCTCCCCGAAGGGACTCGGGGGGCTTCCAACACATATGGAAAACCTTCAGTGCCAGGAAAATGGGAGGTTGCTTACCTGTAACCGTGGTTTCCTGAGTAGTTACCTGTGAATTCACACATTGTGGTATTCCTGCGCCAGCGCAGGCCAGCTTCGGAACCTTCTAGAAAGCTCAAACAAATGTATCCCCCTCGTGGCTCCACCTCCCCCCCTGCAAGTATATAAGGCCCTGAGTGGAGCCCGCCCTCCATCCTCTTCCGCCGCAGAAGCAAACAGAGGAGGTGGCATGATACTTGAGGGGAGGAAGGGAGGGTATGTGTGAATTCACAGGTAACTACTCAGGAAACCACGGTTACAGGTAAGCAACCTCCCATTTCCTGTCGTAGTTAACTGTGAATCACACATTGTGGTAGACTAGCGAGCTATGTAATGGCTGGTGGGATCATGCCACTGCCGAAAACAGCACCGCTCTACCAAATCYCGTCTCTCCTCTCGCCACACAGTCCAGCTTGTAGTGGGAAACAAATGTGGAAGGAGAGGCCCAAATGGCAGCCCTGCAGATAGTCTCTACAGGAATGCCCTTCATAAATGCAGTGGACGCTGCTACAGCCCTCGTCRAATGACCCTTAACCTGACCGGGTAACTCTTTGCCTACTATCCTGTACGAAGTACGGATAGCCGAAACAATCCAAGCTGACAAACGTTGAGTAGAAACTGGAAGGCCCCTAGTGTCCTTCCTATACTTAATAAACAATCTGGGGGATTGTCTAAAATCAGCAGTCCTTTGCATGTAAAAGGCTAATGCCCTTCTCACATCTAGAGAGTGCAACGCCCTCTCCATGGGAGTCTCAGGATTCTGAAAGAACGCCGGTAGGATTACTTCCTGAGACATGTGGAACCTTGTGGCTACTTTTGGTAGAAACGCTATATCAGTCCGGAGCACCACCTTATCCTTATGAAATTTGAGATAAGGAGGATCTACCCTGAGAGCACACAGCTCACTAGCCCGTCTGGCTGACGTAATAGCTACTAAGAAAGCCACTTTCCACGTCAGGGGGCCCAGCTCTGCTGTAGCCAAGGGTTCAAAAGGAGGTTTCATTAGGGCCGAAAGAACTAGTTCCAAGTTCCAGGAAGGGGCAATTGGGGCCACAGAAGGTCTGATATTCCCTAAGCCCCTCAAAAACCATTTAACCAGGGGGTCCGCAAAACATGACGGTAAACCCGCCTTCCTCCTAAACCATGATATGGCTGCAAGATAACACTTCAGGGAAGAATTGGAAAGCCCTGCATCGTAAAGCGACGATAAGAAGTCCAAAACTGTGGAAATGGGGGCTACCTCTGGTTCTTGACCTCTCGTCCTTGAGAAGTCCCTAAAACGTGCCCATTTAAACAGATATGATCTCTTAGTGGAGGGCCTATGTGCGGCCTCGATAATTTGCCTTACATTCTGCGGGAGACTCAAGATCCTGTCTGCCCCTGGGGCCGAATTAACCAAGCTGTTAGTTTCAACAAATGAACATCCGGGTACAACACCTGGCCCTCCTGAGATGTCAATAGATCGACTCTCTTCTGAAGCCTCATGTGGTTTCCTTCCGACAGCTGTAGCAGAGGGGCAAACCACGGTTGACGAGGCCACCACGGAGTGATCAGGATGCAATACGCGTTGTCCCTTTGTAGTTTTGCTACCACTCTTAGCAGAAGGGGAAAGGGAGGGAATGCATATGCCAGGCCCCCTCCCCACGTTCTGAGGAATGCGTCCCCTAGGCAAGCCTGGTCCCTGGGAGCTGGGAGCCTCGAGGAGAAGGTCTCGCATTTCTTGTTGTCGCTGTTGGCAAACAGATCTATCATTGGATATCCCCACAGACGGAAGAGTCTGGTCACCTCTAGGGGGTGAAGGGACCAATCGTGGTGACTCAGCGGGTTTCTGCTGAGGGCGTCCGCTAAAGAATWCTCCTGTCCCGGGAGATGAGTGGCCTGCAAAAAGACCTGTCTTTGGATGCACCATTCCCAAATGTTCAGTGTTAGCTGTAATAATTGAGGGGAATGTGTGCCCCCCTGTTTGTTCAGATAGAAGACAACAGTTGTGTTGTCCGTCAATATCTGAACGACCTGGCCGAGAATGAGTCTTTCGAATGACTTTAGCGCTCTTTCTACGGCCAGCAGCTCTAGCACGTTTATGTGAAGAGCGCTTTCTTCCAGGGACCATTTCCCGTGAGCGACTAGCCCCTGTGAATGGGCACCCCACCCCGTCWGAGAGGAGTCCGTCGTGACTATTCTGGTGGGGTAAGGGAGCTGGAAGGGGAGGCCCGAACAGACAAATTGGGGTTGCAGCCACCATACTAGGGACATACGGACTTCCTCGGGCAGTATAAACTTGAGCCGAGGGCAATCCCTGAGTGGGTTGAAAACTGACCCAAACCATGATTGAAGGGGGCGCAAGCGCAAACGAGCGAAGGGAGTTACCGCAGTCGTGGAAGCCATATGCCCCAAGAGTGTCTGAACCTGTTTGGCCGACACTCTGGTAGACTCCAGGGCCGATCTCACCTGCGCCTGTAGGTTGGCAAAACGCTCCGGCGGGAGGTAGGCTCTGCGCGTCGTTGAATCGAGGAATGCGCCAATAAACAGGATACCGCGGGTAGGTTTCAGGGAGGATTTCTCCACGTTGACGATCAGGCCCAAGAATTGGAGGAGACACCAGGTAGTATAGACCTGTTTTTGAAGCTGGGAGGCTGATTTTCCAATAATAATCCAATCGTCAATGTATGGGAACACGACTATCCCCTGGGTTCGTAAGTGTGCTACCACCACCGCCATACACTTTGTGAACACTCTTGGGGCAGTACTAAGTCCAAAGGGGAGGACRTTGTACTGGAAAGCCCTGTTGCCTACCATGAATGTCAAGAACCTGCGGTGGTGAGGTGCAATTGACAAGTGGAAATAGGCATCTCGTAGGTCTATGGTAGCGAACCATGCACCCTCTGGTATGAGAGGCATGATGGATGAAAGCGTCACCATACGAAATTTCTTTGATAAAATTGTTTTATTGAGATCCCTTAAATCCAAAATGGCTCTGAAACCGCCTCCCCTTTTYGTAACTACAAAGTATCTTGAGAAAAAACATGACGAGAAATCTGAAACCGAAACTGGTGAAATGGCACCCTTCTCCAAGAGGGTATTGATCTCACTGAGTAGAGCYTCTGAGGGGCTTGTACTCTTAACTTTTCCCACTTGAGGGATATTCTGGAACTCAATGGTGTAACCGTTTTGGATGATTGCAAGCACCCACTTGTCCGTGGTGATGCTGGCCCAATTTTTATAAAAAGGTTGCAACCTGTTACCATAATTGGGGAGGTTCGCTTCGAGAGGAACTGTTAACCGAGAGGGTGTAACCCAGGAGATGGGGGTCCCCCCCTGTATCTGGGAACATGTTTCGCCAAGGGCGTCAAAGACGCTTCCTAGAGGCGCCCTGGTTCTTTGATCTGCCCTGGTATGGCTGGTATCTAGACTTTGACGAGTAGGAGCCTCGCTTGTTTGTCTGAAACCTGGGGGACGGGGGGCCCCTACCTCTACCAGATCCCGAAAAGGAATTATTAAAATTCTTGCGGTATTGGCTAGAGGGACCCTGCCACCTGGGGCGACTTTGATTATACGGCTGCCAGGTATAGCCAAACTTACCCGCAGCTTGCCGGACCTCTTGTTTTTCTTTTAGGGTCACGTCCGTTTCTGGGTTGAAGAGGCCCCCCTCGTGTAGAGGGAGGTCCTCTGCCAGGGCTTTGCCCTCTTCAGACAAATTGGCAGTGCGTAGCCATGCATGTCTGCGGATAGAAGTTGCCGTAGCAAACATGTGGCCCGCGGACTCCGCAAGGTGCTTTGCGAAGTCCTTTTGGACTTTTGATAGTATTAGGGCCTCTGTTTGCAAAGCCTTTGGAAAACGCTGCTCCTCGGGCGGGAGTTTATCCAAATAAGGGAGTATTTTTGTCCACAGGAAGGTTTGGTAACCGGATATGTACGTGGCATAGTGGGCCATCCTAGTCACCAATCCTGCCGCTAAGTGAGCCTTTCTTCCCAGGAGGTCTACTTTCTTGCCCTCCTTATCGGGAGGGGCCGAAAGAGTGCTTTTTGGCTTCTTTGATTTAACTACTTCGGCCACCACCGTATTAGGCTTCGGTGGGTTGGCCACCCACTTGGCTGCCGAGAGGTCGATCTTATACAGGGCGTCGACCCTTTTAGGCGTGGCAGGTACGGTAGTTGGGGGGGCGTCTAAAATCTTAGCCAGTTTTAGAAGGTAGGGAAGCATTGGAAGTGATGTAGGGGTTGGGGTGGCCTGTTCCTCCGACGGGAACATCGGGTCCTCGACGTGTTCCTGCGCTTTTGGCGCTGGTATGTCGAGGGCCTTGATCATTCTGTCTATTAATGAGGCAAATTTGCTGTAATCTGGTGGCAATGGTGCGCTATCAGAGGTCTCCCTAGTTTGATGAGGATCGGACGGCTCAGCTGAGGAGTCCGAGTCCTCTGGCTCTAAGGTGGGCCGATCCTCTGAAGGCAAGGCTAACTCCTGAGTCACCTGAGGGGTACTAGGCATTACAGGAAGATTAGTGGTAAGATTAGCAGCTTCAGTGTTTGACAAGTCATCAACTAATAAACGATCAACACATACACTTCTATCAACACAGTTAGAGCTTTGCTCAGTGGCACAAATTTGAGTAGAGTTCAGTTGTCCCTGTCTCCCTACAGGGGGAGCAGTCACTGACGCAGATGCAGATGGTGTAGGGGGAAAAACCGTGGTTGCAGTCCCACATCCCCTCTGCTGTATGCCATGGATCATGTCCATGTTGTCCAAGGGAGCAAAAGGCTGAGCTGCATGTTGAGTGTACATGAAGTGTCCTGCAGGGCCCATGTTCCAGGGGCCTGCGAATGGGTAAGGGCCCGGGCCATAGGGACCCCACTGGGGCATTACAGGTTGTGGCCTCTGGCCCCGCCGGGATCGTCTGGAGCCTTTGGCTGTAGAGGCGGAACGAACAGAACCCTGAGAGGAGGAGGAGGATGAGGAGGAGGAGGAAGAGGAGGAATCCCCTGAAGAGGAGGAGGGCGAACCCGCCCTAGATCCTCCCCTCGATGGTCGCCGACGCAGAGGTTCGCCGCGCCTCCTGCTGCGACGTGAGGGCGATCGGGATCTCCTCCTTCTACTACCCCCACGCTTTTCTCTGTGCTTCCTGGGCGCCGGTGCCGCGGGGATGGCAAAAGCAGGCTCCTCGGTCGGCGCCGGGAGGGGTTCTGCTGACGTCAAGGCTCCTTCCTCCGACCTCCTGGCGGGAGGGGCGAGCGGCTCCCAGCCGGAAGCCACGCCCTCCGGGGAGGGAGGCATCTCGGCGTCGAGGAGGTGGAGCTCAGCCGAGCTCGGCAGGTCGATGCCGACAGGAAGCTGGGACGCCTCCGGGGACCGCCCAGCAACAGATGTTTCCCTCGCCAGCGTGGGAGGAGACCGGGTCGGAGTCGGAGATTCAGCCAATGCCGGTAAGAGGAGCGTCTGCCTGGGGGAGGGTCGGGTTCCCTGCGGCATCCCATCAGGTGGAAGAGGGCTCCTTCCCGGCGCCGCTGAGAGGGCAGTTGGAGTCTTTCCCGCCCTTTTTTCAGAGGTTTTGTCCCGAGCGGGCGAGGCGCGGCCATCTTTCCTGGCCTTTTCCCCTTGTTTCTTAACTTTCTTTTTAGGGGCTGCAGAGTCCGGCCTGGCTCCAAGCAGTGGGGCGGCCTTGTCTCCCGAAGTACGGGGATTCGGCAGGTCAGGCATCAAGGCCTTTTCATAAAGAGCCGCTTTCAATCTGAGTTCTCTGCTCTTTCTCGTTTGCGGCGTAAAGGCCGCACACACAGCACAGGACTGGGAGAGATGCCCCTCTCCCAGGCAAGTCAGGCAGAGGCTGTGCCCATCAGCGTCAGGGAGCACATTGGGGCAAGCCGAGCACCTCTTGAAGGAGGTGGTAGCCATTTTGCCAGCCGACAGAAAGACGACCCAGGGGCGAGGCGAGAGAAAATCCTTGAAGCAGTCCGGGTCGAGGGGGATCAGAGTACCTTACAAAGTTCAGTTAGCAATCCGTTTCGAAAGCCAGAAGATCAATCTAGAGGTTCGTTTTAGCTGTTAACTGCTAACGGCGGAAAAAAGAGGATGAAGGGCGGGCTCGACTCAGGGCCTTATATACTTGCAGGGGGGGAGGTGGAGCCACGAGGGGGATACATTTGTTTGAGCTTTCTAGAAGGTTCCGAAGCTGGCCTGCGCTGGCGCAGGAATACCACAATGTGTGATTCACAGTTAACTACGACAGGAAAATACATAATAACAATGCACATCAAAGAACATAGAACAGCCATTACTATAAACTTAACATCAAATACAAACTAACCAAATAATAAAACTTGACAATCCTAGCAAACATAATCATATAATATGAATTCGAACAGGATAACATTTAAAACAACTAGAAATTGATAAATTAAGAAATTGAATTATCCACAGGGTTGAAGAGGTTACTCTAGGAGCCACGAATGCCACTCAGACATACATACAGCCTCCTTCATACAAGCTCTAAGGGAAAGCTTCCCCTGCTCCTCTAAAACTACTCTTTTAAACTACTCTTTTAAAGGGCAAAACAACCAATGTCCTTCTCCATCACACCTGTAACTGTACTGAGCATATATATGGAGGGGCATCTGACCGCATTTTATTCCTGTCCAATACACACAATCCTCTTTGTACTAGCAATTTGCATTGTAAACAAATTATAACCCATTTGAAAAATGGAGCTCCTTCATGCAAATATGAAATACTGGTTTTGAATTCCTAGTATGGATCAGGGCTTTTATATTCTTTGCTTATTCACCCCCTCCCCACTTCCTCCATTTTAATTTTCAAAGAATGCCACCCAATTTTCCCACTAAAACAAACAAAAATAAAAATGAAGCCCCCTTTCAAAACAAAAACAAAAACAAAAAGTAGCTGTGGCAAGTGATGTGTCTGCAGCTGCAGGGATATGCATAAGGGACCTCAGCATTAAACTGAAATTATGTTTATTTTATTCATGAGAAGCATGTGTTCCAGACAAAGTTATATATAAGGTTCACGTGCAGAAGAACAATGCACAAACCTTGTGTGATATAGCTCTTCCAGGCAAGCTTACAGTTGCACAGTAAATTAGAAGGTTGCCATTATCAATGAAATCAGCTGACTGCTCAGTTATATTTGTTCATTAAATCCTCTAAGAGCTGCCTCATTGTAAGTGAGCACAAATCGCAGTCTTGATGAGTAACGGTAATGTATTGCCACCCAATTCACCAGCCATCAGTGGCTATACTGACTTACCAGGGATGTCATAGTGAAACCAATAACCTCAAGGCAACCATCATCATGGCGCTGAGGCTCAAAATCATGGTGGTCTCCAGGATTTCCCCAAGGCATGGTGCCTGCACAGTACCTGCATGCAGACAGGGTAGGGTGAAAACGGAGATTTGTTAGTAGGGATAAACAGCTTGAGCTCTTGGCTAATGCCCCAGTGGGCTACTGGGAAATAGCTCACCTTGGAATGTTTAGAAAGACGAGACACTGAGGCTTCAGTTCTTGAATTTTAGGAGTTAGGTCTGTTCCATCACACTAACAGAAAGGGGGCAAGGAGGAAATATATTTGTTAGTCTGTCTTCAAAAGGAATTTAACACAAGACATTGTTTTCCAATGTGGGGAGAAAGGCAAATTCTGACTGCCTATTAAGGCAGGAGACTATTCCTAAAGGACATTCACATATTTTAACATGGGAGCAAAATGACTTTCCCAGCCCAGCCAGCAACCTTGTGTCTGATTCCCCAAAGCCCATAAGGAACCCATTAGGGCCATGGCACACACTCACCACCACTTTGATGTGTTTTGCTAAGTCTTTAGAGCTCCCCATGAGGAAATCAGAGAACGCTGTCTGCCAACAGAAGAGAAATCGAGTTAGTTCACACAAAATGACCTTGCATTCGTTCAGCTGACTTAAGCAATAGTTGAGAAGACAGATGGGTCTCAGGCAATTTCCCAACTTCCAGTAGAGATATGGATATGCTGTTTTCCATGTGTCTCAGATAAAACAGCAGGAAAAGGCAGATATTAAAACAGTGAGAGTCTCAAGGGCAACCCCAATGCACACACTCCTTACTACTCTCAATTTCACTGATGCTGCATCATACCAACAGAAACATGAGAAGCTACTTTTACTGAGTTGGACCATTGCTTTGTTCAGTCCAGTTTTATCAAAAGTTACTGGTATCTGCTCTCCAGAGTTTTAGGTAAGATCCTTGGCAATTTCTAGTAATATCCCATCTAAGTGCTAAATAGAATAATAGAATCATAGAGTTGGGTACTCCTGCACTCTTCCTACAGAGTCTTGGGATGCAGTCAAGTTGCCCTTCTCTGTTCTAGGAAATGAACATATGGGTGTACTGAGAACAAGGAAATAATTTTTGATTGGCACACAATAATACATTCTTTTGAACTCACCCCAGCATAGAACATTTTATTCCGAAATCGGCTGTTGAATTTCTCTGGATTTGCCTCTAGATAAAGAGATTAATAATCAATCACTTGCCCTCTGAAGGCAGAGCCCACCCCTCCCTCCCTAGTCCCATGGCTGTAGTTTTCAGTTGTGGTTTCTCAGTAAGTATAGCATTATCATTAGGAAGGTGGGCCAGTTTGGGGGGGGGGGGAGAGAAAACACAACTCAGTGGAAACTCTTTTAGGACTGCATCTCCTACAAACATACATCTAGCACAGTGCTTCCCAACCTGTGGTCTGTGGAACACCAGTGGTCCCCAAGAACTAAAATACACTCCACAGCTTCACTGTTATTACACCACTGCAACGAGAGTAACTGGTCTCATGAAGCCCTCTTATAGTGCTGAGGCAATGGGAACGTTGGGAGGCGAGAGGATGACTACCTACGAAAGGCGCAACAACTAGCCTCCTGACTGCTTCTCCTCCTCTTCCTCCCCCTCCCCCTAGAACCTGGAAGTCGGGGCGACTTGGTGTTTTCGTTTTTAGGCCTGTTCCTGGGATTATTTGGGGTGCTGATTCAGAAAATTGCATTGGATAGAACACATCAGCTCTACATTATTAACAGTGGTTTACTGTGGTGAGCAGATGTCAACCACTGGATGGAGTAAGTTCTGTATCAGAAACTAGAGCTGATGTGGTCTATCCAATGCAATTTTCTAAATCAGCACCCCAAATCACCAAACCAAATCTAAAGTTGACCAAAAATTGATTTGTAACCCTTCTGGTACTAATGTTGGAGAGTGGTCACTGCTCAAAGTGGTCCCTGCTCATTTTTTTTTTAAAGGCTGGAAACCACTGCTCTAGCACAACCATTATCAATGGGGGGTGGGTGGGGTGGGGATCTGGGTACTACAAAAAGTAGTGTTTTGCAACAGATATAATACAATAACGATCACTTGATATTTTTCTAATTTACCTTTATTCCCTTCTGCTGAATGAAAAATGCTTTTATTCTGCTTCTAGGGCAATTGCCTTCACTGCCACTTTCTCCTCCCTTTATACTTTGAGTTCATTGCTTTCAGACACTGAAGATGTATTTTCCCCGAAGGAAGGTCTTCCTTCCCCCTAATAAATTCTGATGCTTGGAAAGTATAAGTTGATTTCCACTTTATGTTGCCATTTACCTCGGGATTCATGGAATTCCAACGTCACACGAGCATCAAAACCAAGGCTGAAATAATTGTTGAAGACATCAAGAGGGAGCTGGAATAGGAAAAATGCAAAATGCTGATCCTGGGATTACTGTGGAAGTTGAAGCATAGCTACTTGTGCATAATTAACTAAATCAAAGCAAAACTAATTCTCCTCCTGAGGTGACAGATATATTGTCATTTCCTTGGTTTTCTATGAATCAGCAGACAAGAGATTTTGGAGATCCAGATTTAAGCCCTCATTTTGCCATGGAAACTCAGTGAATGACTTAATACTATATACGGTTTTCTAGTTTAATCTACATCACAAGGTTCCCTGGAAGATAAAGCAAAGAGGAAAATGTCACATAGAATACCTTAAGCTCACCTTAAAGTGAAATAAATTCCACAAATCTATAAAACCTTCAAATAAGATTGTTGTACATTCATTTTGGGCTATGTTAAAGTTGCTTATTGAATAGGAAAGGATACTAGATGGGACTAATAGGTTCCAATGAAAAAAAAGAAAGAAAGAAAATTAGAAACCTAATTAGATTTCCTCTTGGTCTATTAACTGTATAAAAATAATGCTTTGAGGCTGAAAAACATCTCTAGGAATATCCTACTGGTCTTAAAAGATCTTTCTTGTGTGAGAAATTCAAAGGGATTTATAAAACAAAGCCTCGCTAAAACTTCAGTGATTCTAAGACAAATAATTCTTTAACTCAAAATGATTCTAAAGTACGTGCTAGGGCCAAATTAGGTTATTATGTGTATGTATATTAGGAAGGGCTAGGGGGATAAACAAAAAAAATATTCAAAAGAAGTGACAAAGGCCTGCCATTTCCTCACTTTAATGCACGTGTGCCTTTATTTAGAATTCTGATGGGAAGTATGAAGCTATTTAGGAAGGGCAAAATCTATATGCTTAAACTCTTTGAATATTTGAACATACAATAATGCAAGATTTTCTACAGTAGTCTGTGATTCATTTTAATACAGTACAAAAATGAACCACTTCTTTTTTCTTCTCTGTTTCCCATCTTCATTTTCAGGATATATATTTTTAGTTATCCATTTGTTTGCTCACATGGAAATATACATACGATAGAAAAAGTGCAAATGTAAGTTTGTTTTCTGTCATAACACAGTGTATATTTGAATACATTTCAACTGTTTCCTACATGTGATTCACCATGAAAAATACAACAAAGTGTACTGAGTATATTATGTTTGAAACGGGTAGGTAATTCAAACGGGCAGGATATTAATAGTTTATCAGGTTTTACCAGGGCCCTCTGGTGGTGCAGCAGGTTAAACTGCTGAGGTGCTGTACTTGCTGTCTGAAATGTTGGCAGTTTGAATCTGGGAGCAGGGTGAGCTCCCGCTGTTAGCCCAGATCCTTCTAACCTAGCAATTCAAAAACATGCAAATGTGAGTAGATCAATAGGTACTGCTTCTTGGAGAAGGTAATGGAACTCCATGTAGTCATGCTGCTCAAATGACTTAGGAGGTGTCTATGGACAACGCTGGCTCTTCGGCTTAGAAATGGAGATGAGCACAAACCTCCAGGGTCAGACACAACTAGACTTAATGTCAAGGGTAAACCTTTACCTTTACCTATGGATTTTACCTTATCTGCAGCAGTTTCATCCTTCTCTTCAGAGTTTGCCTCAAGGTTGGGCTCCACCAGTAGATTCCAGCGGTCAAGTTGCACAATTTCTCCTTCTTCTACATGTGAAAGGATCTTTGACAAGGGCTCATCTGTGTATCCCTGTGTGTTGAGATGTGCTCTGTGAATGACTGAAATTCTAAGCAGTGAAGATAACCTCCCTTTAACCTTAATTCAGACTTACTCACTGTGTTGACCTGAAACACAGTGAAATATTGAGCAGATATTGACACACACTTACCCCACCCCAGTTAAGTGTTCTTGCGAGGTCATTTCCTGTCCCTAGAGGAAGAACAGCCACAGGAGGTGGGGGATTCAGCCGTAACTGGTCCAAGACAGAGAGGATCCATCCCACCTATTAATCCAAGAAAGATACAAGAGTTTCAAACACAGTTTCTACTTGTAATTTCTTATGCACTTACTTTTTCATTAGACATTTCCTGTATTCCCTACAAATACCAACATAGTCCATCTCTGAAAAGGAATGAATAAAGAAGTTTGGGAACACCATGTGAATATGTAGGCCCAAATAAATTTAATCTGAAAATTACTTGCCAACATCAAACAAAAAATATTGGCTAGTGTATGGCAGCTGTGAAAATAGCAAAATTTATGATAGGTATATTTTGGAGAAGACTCGAAAATATACTGATAAAGACAGTCCTCGAGTTACAAACATCTGACTTACAAATGACTCATAGTTAAGAATGGGGGTGAAACAACAGGAAGTGAGAGGAAATCTGTCTCTAGGAAGGAAAATTTACCCCTGAAAGAGTAATCATGGGAAAAAGGTGTCTCAACTGAAGCTTTATCACCAATCTGTGTTTCTACAACAAGACAAATTTTCCAAAACCCAGTTATCACAGTGACAGAAAGTGAGGTGAAATATGAACAGGGGCACAGACAGCAAAACAAAAATAACAGGGGTGTTAATCTTTCCCTGTGCCACCCAAAGCTAAAAAAATATGTATTTTTGGCTATAGTTACACTTAAAAAATGTACCAGTTCCAACTTACACACAAATTCAACTTAAAAACAAACCTACAGAATCTATTTTGTTTGCAACTTGGGGACCATCTGTATTCCAAAAGCTACAACTATCCACATGTGTGTTTGAGATAGTCACATCCTTGTTTTCTGAGAGTTCAATGGGCACACATTTTGTTTCATTCACAAAATGTTTAAATAATTTTGTGAATTATTTGTGCAAAACATTACTTTCAAGCCATGTGTATAAGTGTATATGAAATGTCAATGAATGTTGTGTTTAGACTTGCATTCAATCTCCAAGATTATGTATATATTTGTATGCAAATACAAGCATTCCAAACTCCAAAAACTTTTGGCAAGCACTTTGAATAAGAGATACTCAACCTGGTCTATAATGTCTTTATACAATTTTACAGGGGTAAGACCATACTTTGAATATTGTGCACAAATTCCACATCAAGGAAAATATCAATCAAAATGATCAAGTGGTCAGAGCAAGTCCCTATAAAGGAAGACTACATTAAAGGTTTCTGATTTTTACAGGGTTTTTATTGTTTTTCTTTACAGAGGCAATTATGGGTGACAGTCTGAGGCGTATAAAAGTATGCATGATGTGAAGTTTTCCCCTTTCATATAATACAATCAGACTCACATAGTGCATGGCTAAACTAAGTAAGGGATTTGTTACCGTAAGATGAAATGAAGGCCACCAACCTGGATGTCTATAAAGTGAATTAAACAGATCCACGGAGAATCAGATTATCAATGATTATTTATAATAGACTCTGACTTCAGAGGTCAGGGTTCAAATACCTGCTTAGCCATGAAACCCACTGTGTGATCTCATGCAAGTCACACTATCTCAATATTATTTTATGTTGTTTTCTGATGTTGTTTTTATAAATTTTACTGTGTTATGTTTTAATTCCATGTTTGACTGGGCTTGTCCCCATGTAAGCTGCCCCAAGTCCCTTCGGGGAGATGATAGCGGGATATAAAAATAAAGTTGTTGTTGTTGTCTCAAAGGAAGGTAATGTCAAATTTCTTCTGAACAATTTTTGCCAAGTAAACCCTGTGATAGATTAGAGTCACTATAGACTTGAAGGCACACAACTATTTGTTATGATAGCCATAAGGACCATTACTTGTGATGGACTATGGTACTCATATTCCCTAACAAAGAGTATTTAGCCTCTAGTACAGGCAAGGGCAAACTTCGGCCCTCGGGTGTTTTGGACTCCAACTCACACAATTCCTAACTGCTGGTAGGCTGTTAGGAATTGTGAGAGTTGAAGTCCAAAACACCTGGAGGGCCAAAGTTTGCCCTTGCCTGTACTAGAGGCTAAATACTCTTTGTTAGGGAATATGAGCTGGAAAATATTATTGTATACATGTCTTTCTAGGGATGTGTCATAAGTATCTAGTTGACCACTATGGGAATGGAATGCTAAATTAGATAGGTCTTTGGCACAGTCAAAGAAGCCTCTCTCTCACTTAATTGAAGAGATAGCATACTGCAGCCTAAGAATGTTGTCTCTAGCAGTTACAGCTGAATTATATAACCTGATGAACCCATTACGAGTTGAAGCAACAACATGCTCCTTTCCCTAAAAGCTACCAGAGTCAGCTGCTGGTGCACAGCTCCATCCCTTTACAGACCATCACGTACACAAGAGATCAACGATCACTTACTGTGCCATCTCCCCCACATGCCAGAATACGTAGGTTGTGCACTTTACGATACATTTCCAACCTGCAAAGAGCAAGAGTGAAGAGAGGGAAAGGGGAATGAACACTATAAATCACAACCATACACATCAGAGAAATGTAATTACGAAGTGCTATTCAATTCCATAGAAATGCTTAGAAAAGCAGATGGCCAGTGTGAGACCAAGAAGATGAATCAGAACTTAAAAGAGGACAAATTTACTATAGAATCATTCCTCAAACTGGCGAAACACTCCATGTCTTCATTATATTTCAGAGAGTTGTTGCTGTTGTTATGTGCTTTCATTTCAGGGGACTGTATGCCAGAATTACAATGGAATGTTGTTTGGTCTGTGGTACTTAAATCTTTGGGCCAAAATTCTGGAATCCTAATGCAAAACTACTGCTTCTATGGCTCAGAAGAGGATTGTGTAAGGATATGAAATTAAAGTAGTCCACTTTAGTACACAACTTGGAGGGCTTTTATTCACAGCATCACCAAAATTAAATCTGACTTGATGTCAAATAACAACAAGCAACAAATTAATGTCCAACTGAAAGCTAGTGTCATGACAGAGGACCGGGTTTAGCAAACCCTGTACAAGATATAAATCTTGTTTGGTCAGATGAAGCCCTCTCTTTTAGCCAAATCTACTCTACGGTGGAGCTGACTGGGTTCTTTAGTAGTTTTCACTCAATGACACCTTATACCAGGGGTCCTCAAACTAAGGCCCGAGGGCTGAATACAGCCCTTCAAGTTCCTTTACCCGGTCCTCACTCAGGGTCAACTTAAGTCTGAAACGACTTGAAAGCCCACAATAACAACAACAACAACAACAACAACAACAACAACAATCCTATCTAATCAGCCAAAAGCAGGCCCACACTTCCCACTGAAATAGAGCAGTTTATATTTGTTAAAATTGTTCTTCATTGCATTGTTTTAAAGTGGTTTTTTTGCATAGGAAATTTTTTTCAAATTATAATCAGCCCTCCAACAGTTTGCAGGACTGTGACCTGGCCCTTTCTTTAAAAACTTTGAGGACCCCTGCCTTTACCAATTGAGCACCGGATCACTTTCAAAGTGATGGTACTCACCTTTAAGGCCTTGTATGTTCTGGGGCCGATATATACCTGAGGGACCGCCTCACCCCCTACCAACCCCAGAGATCCCTCCGTTCTGAGGACCAAGATTTGTTGGAAGTCCCCAAGACCTTGCGTCTAACAGCAACCAGACGCAGAGCCTTCACAGCAGTGGCACCATCACTCTGGAATGCTCTGCCACCTGAAGTTCGTGCCCTGCGGGACTTACCAGCTTTCCGCAGGGCATGTAAGACATACCTGTTCCGACAGGCTTTTAATGTTTGATACTGTTGTTTTTAAATTGTTTTAAATTTCTTTTAAACTTTGTTAGATTTTAGCTATTCTTGTAAGCCGCTCCGAGCCCCAGGGGAGTGGCGGCATATAAGTTTAAATAATAAATAAATAAATAAATAAATACTATGTCATGTGTAGAGGTAGTTGATGACTTTCATATCCATGGGCAAAGAACCTAGTCCCAATATTAAATGACATATTCAAAACTCTACATGCTACTACACTTTAGACAGTGTCATTAAATTCTAGACTAAAATCCAGAGTGGACACCACTGACATGGGAGCTGCCATTCAAGTCAGATGGTATGAGTGCTCACAGATTAAAAGTCCTGTGTTAGGTAGCAGGAGTAAGAAACCAGATCTCCTCCAGATATGCTAAATTCCAACTTCCATCCATCCATGGTCAGTAATGGGTCATTGTAATGGTGATCTGGAGGGCCACAGATTTCTCCATGTGGGTTTTTTTGTGGTGCCCTGCTCAGATCCTTTTAACTGCACAGCCTCAAAGGGTTCCAGGGACATTCAACTGTTGTGACTCAAGAGGGCCATGTAACAGGTGAATAGATGTCTATATGGGAATGTTTCTAGGATTTACACTCTGACTCTACTTGAAATGAAGCATAACTTCTGGGATGAAACTCAGATGCCTATGAACTGCTACTCACGCTTCTTTGGGGCCTCCTTGGCTAAGATCAAAAACTTGTCGTGGGTTGAGGTACCACATAAATGACTGGATCATTTTTGCACCCTAAAAGTATACAGAAAGAAAAGAATCAAGAAAACAGGGGAAAAACTACACTAGGATTGAGGTGAAAAGATGCTCAGTTCAGCACACAATCTGCAACCAAAAGGAAATCTGCACGGAAATTAAACCTACCTGATTTCCACCACTCTTGGGGTTCACAAACACTAGCAGTGGTTTCATGAGGGGGGCTGGGACAGGCTTGATAACAAAGGGCTTCCATCGCCCTTCCTGTAAAGTGAACCCAGAAGATTACAAACACCATCAGGACAAATGATTTTTTACTATAGTTTAGAGAGGGCTTTTTTTGGGGACTTCTGGTGTTAGCCATTAAATCTCACATCATACTATAAAAACAAGTTGCTCAGAATGGAATTAATGTGTAAAATGTAATGCACAAAATTTGCTCTGATTTTTATGCTGCAGCAAAAAAATCCCCATAGCCTAAACTCCAGCTGTTTTTATTCTATTTTATATATTTTCACACTCTAGTATCAAGATGCCATTAACTAGGGCTTCTCACCTGTAAAGAATACACCGGTATATCTAAACTGAATAGCTATTTTTGGAGAAAGCAAAATACAAAATTTTACTTCACAGTCTTTTGGACACTGTAGTCTCTCTAGCAAGCAGCAGCAGATAGTAGTTTACTTGAAAAAAGTACAGAAATTAACACACGATAAATTAAGATGTGATAATCATGGAACGTACTGATGTAATTCTAATACAGTATTAAGAAGGAACCAAAGGAGTTCTTGAACTAGGCTCCTATCAGCATTATTCTGGAATTCCATGACTGCATTTAGACAATGATACCATGAGTTAATTAAAATAAGGTTAAAATAATTTAAAATAAAATACCCACACAACAAATAATATGTATACAAATAAAAGTTAGTGTACACACAGTAGCAAATAACAATGTAAATATTAAATATAAAATAAAGATATGTTGTATACAAAGTACAAACACAAATGCCAACTAACAAGAATTACATATTAATGTACATCAACACGATGGACACTCATAAAACTAAATGTATTTTGGCTTTCCTCAGTAGTTGTACCTTAATATTGGCAAAGGTGTCAGTAGGTGAGACAGTAGTATTATTTATGTATTTATTTATTTCAAGCATTTATATCCCGTCCTTCTCACCTCTGAAGAGGGACTCATGACAGCTTACAATAGGCATGAAGATGTAAAATGGCTGTGGATGCTGGGATGACCAGGGTGGAGATGGTAATGTAAAGCATCAGTGTAAACCGGCTCTATCAGAACAGACAGTTGTCCTGCCAACTCCTGAATGTCTCAAGGACCAATGGAACAGTTTCTCTAGTGAAAGAAACTATTTGTTGTCACCCTACTGATACAAGTCACTTTTGGGACAATGGGCTTTTACAATAGCATAGGATGATCTAACTTTGGCCCTCCAGGTGTTTTGGGCTTCAATTCCCACAATTCCTAACAGCCGGTAAGCCAGCTGGGATTTCTGGGAGTTGAAGTCCAAAAAACCTAGAGGGTCAACGTTTGCCCATGCCTGATCTATATTACAGAATTAATGCAGTTTAACACCACTTTAACTACCTGGCTCAATGTTACAGAATCATGGAGTGTGTACTTTTTAAAGATCTGTAGCCTCCTCTAAAGTATGTTGATGCCTCACCAAACTACAAATCCCAGAATTCCAAAGCACTGACCCATGGCAGTTCATGTTGTGTTAAACTGCATTTTAGCTACAATGAAGATGAACCCAGAGTCATCAGAAGGATTCTGGCCTGAGTTAGAAAAGGTATCATACCTGTGGCTGAACTATAGGGCATAAGCTTTCTATGCTCTAAAGGTCAAAGTTTACCAGACTACCAGCAAGACTGGTCGACTTTTGAGAAAAGACAAATATATTGGAAAGTAACTCCAGAGCAGGTTGCCAGTGACAATAAACTCAAGCTAAATTTTTTTGCCTTTTGTCAGCAGACTATACTTTTGTTAGCAGACCACACCTCCCCCTTCAGCACCCAGGAAAGAATCTCTCCTAAAATTAAACAAGCATTAGGTTCTTGTGGGTTTTTTCGGACTATGGAGCCATGTTCTAGAGGCATTTCTCCTGACGTTTCACCTGCATCTATGGCAAGCATCCTCAGAGGTAATGAGGTCTCTGGTAGTGAGGACCTCACTACCTCTGAGGATGCTTGCCATAGATGCAGGCGAAACGTCAGGAGAAATGCCTCTAGAACATGGCTCTATAGCCCGAAAAAACCCACAAGAACCTAGTGATTCCAGCCATGAAAGCCTTCGACTAAACAAGCATTGTTTCCCTTTCAGTCATTATGTCCTTGTCTATATCCTTGTAGGATCCTGTGACTTTATTTCATTTTCTGGAGCTGGGCAAACTCTCTCTTTCTTTTAAAAATAAAATTTCTCCCCAGAAAAAGTCTTTCTACAGAGGAGCAGTTGAGATTCCAGTTCTGTGTCACTGTGTTCTGTGAGCTAGAGAAATGCTGGCTATTTTTGAAGCTAAGCTTGCAAAACTTTTTAGATTACAGTTCACAGAATGCTCCAGTCAGCACTACCACTGTGGAGAGCCACATTTTCTTAAACCAATATATCCAAGTTCAGTTTTGAGAGAGGCACTTAAAATAATAATAAAAAAAAAACCTTTCACAAATTTTTTCTATATCCTTCTTTAGGCCAAGGTTTTGCTTTGTACCCAAGACCCTTCTAAAATAATAATAATAATAATAATAATCTTTATTTATACCCCGCCACAATCTCCCCAAGGGGACTCGGAGCGGCTTACATGAGGCCAAGCCCAACAACACATCAGTAAAAACAACAAGCAATACGCAAATAAAACAATACAATTAATATAACTCAACATATAGACAATAGCAAGCAAGGGTTTAAATCTCAGCCCCCCTTCAACCCTGACCAAAATCTCTGACCTCAGGCCCCTTTTTGCTGGACTTTCGCTTGAATGATGTCCTCTTTTTCTTCTTACTTGACTTTAGTGGGTTCTGGGGAGGAGTGGAGGAAAAAAGAGATATCAGGATTTATTGATTGATTCATTTATTCATTGATTTCCTATCTTTTTCCTGGCAGAAAACTTAAGTAGACTTACAACAAACAAAAGCAAAGTATGTTTAATACCTTCTAATTGAAAAGCTTAAAAAAGAAACAAATAATGCCATTAAAAGCACATAGCTAAAACAATGTAAAACACATTCAAAACATATTTAAAAATTAAGAACACATTCAAGAAAGCATTGTTATAAATGAAAGTCTGCCCAAATACAAAGCCATTTGCCTGCGGAGTGGGGCCTGATGAAACCTTCTGTGGGAGGGAGACTCCGGACTGGGAGCAGCTACTGAGCCCTCCCCTGCCTTAGGCTTTATATGTGGTCTTTTGAAGGCCTTTAAAGGTCATAACCTACACTTTGAATTCTGCCCAGAAATATACTAATAACCAATGAAGTGTTTCAACAAGGGAGCCAAATGTTCTATGCAACCTACACTTTGAATTCTGCCCAGAAATATACTGATAACCAATGAAGTGTTTCAACAAGGGAGCCAAATGTTCCATGCAACCACTCAAGCCAGAACCTTTCTTGTAGCATTTTGGACCTTCGGAAGTTTCCAAGCAGTTTGTTACAGTAATCCTAACACAATATAGTCTGGGTTAAATGAAAGTAAATTTGGTTTGAAAGGAAAGACACCTGAGGAAGCAATGTACCTGGGGATGCCGGACCCTCAGAATCCAGGTGGGAGGGATGACCACAGCAGCATGTGCCCCAAGTGAGCAGGGCTCCTCGATGTGCTGCAGCATGAAGCATGAAACTTTACTGTGATACTGAAAGGCAGAGAAAAGAACAGAACCAGTCATTTTTTTCAGCCTAGTCAATATTGGGTTTCATCACTGGACTGCAGAAATCTCCTGTGTTACCAAGTTTCCAGACCTCAATGGATAGCTAAGCTAAGACAGAGATAGAACCAGGCTGAAGGATTCCTTCCCCCACATTCCTATGCATGTTTTCCCAAAAAGGGCTTTGTCTTCTTCACTCTTCATGCCAGCTACTGTCTCCTCCCCCTTTGATGATGTAGTAATGGAATTCTGTGAGGGAACTTCCTCTTTAAGTGTTATTGCCCTGGGTTGACCATACAGTCTCCTCCTTTGTCTCTTTTTCCTATTCTTCCTTCCTATAAGGAAACATTTTTTCCTCTCTCTAGACAAAATGTAGTTGCATGGATCTTTTTATCTTTTGCCTCCTTTAGAAGATGAGATTTAGTAAGCTAGTGAATTCCAAGACCTTTTCTATCAAGAATGTATTTCCTTTACTTCAATAAATATTTTTGAACCTAAAGTTCTGACTCCAATCCTGATCCATCCTAAGATATAGAAGTCTATGCCTGTTCGCCACACATAAGTTTCTGCTGGTTATGAAGTTTACTTCTGGTACTCTGCTCTATTTGTGGTGCCAACACCCCAACTGAGGGTTATTTTGAGTCTAACAGCTTAGATTCCTCAATGGTCAAGGACAAACACAGTGCTTTTGAAGCCTGTTTCAAGTACGGGACTAAGTCTACAGATGCAGCAGAATCAGAGCTTGGATTGTTTTCAAAAGTACAAGGATGCTGTGGGGAGTTTCTTGAAGGTTATATTCCATAAAGTACCTTTTCCAAGCTGAGGAAAACAAGGCAGGAACCAGGTGGTAAATTTTCAAAACACTGGAGTTGACAATGCCACTTGGATGGTCAAAGATCCCATGTGATTCATCCGTATGATATATAACATAATGTTGTTGTGTGTGGAACTACAGCACATATATCCTCTAAACATCCTTTGGACTTGCCATTTAGCTGCTGCAGTTACCCAAAGCCATGCCTTGTTGGATATAGAAGGGGATCTAACTAGATCTCCACAGCCAGAAATAGAATGATTATTTTGAGGTCTGCTGGAAGTCTCTGAAGGGCTCAGTAGGCCAGTGGTTCTCAATCTGTGAGTCCGTAGGTGTTTTGGCCTACAATTCCAAGAAATCCCAGCCAGTTTACCAGCTGTTAGGATTTCTGGAATTTGAAGGCCAAAACATCTGATGACTCACAGGTTGAGAACCACTGCAATAGACAATGAAATCGTATTGTCGAAGGCTTTCATGGCTGGAATCACTAGGTTCTTGTAGGTTTTTTCGGGCTATAGGGCCATGTTCTAGAGGCATTTCTCCTGACGTTTCGCCTGCATCTATGGCAAGCATCCTCAGAGGTAGTGAGGTCTGTTGGAAATAGGAAAATGGGTTTATATATCTGTGGAATGACTGGAGTGGGGCAAAGAGCTCTCTGCTGAAGCTAGGTGTGAATGTTTCAGCTGACCACCTTCATTAGCATTTGAAGGCTTGGCTGAGCCTGGGAAAATGTTCTGTTGAGAGGTGTTAAGATGTGCCTGGTTCTTTCCTCTCTGCTGTTTTGCTGTAGTAATTTTAGAGTTTTTTAATACTGGTAGCCAGATTTTGTTCATTTTCATGGTCTCCTCCTTTCTGTTGAAATTGTCCACATGCTTGTGGATTTCAATGGCTTCTCTGTGTAGTCTGACATGGTGGTTGTTGGAGTGGTCCAGCATTTCTGTGTTCTCAAATAATATGCTGTGTCCAGGCTGGTTCATCAGGTGCTCTGCTATGGCTGACTTCTCTGGTTGAAGTAGTCTGCAGTGCCTTTCATGTTCCTTGATTCGTGTTTGGGCGCTGCGTTTGGTGGTCCCTATGTAGACATGTCCACAGCTGCATGGTACACGGTAGACTCCTGCAGAGGTGAGAGGATCCCTCTTGTCCTTTGCTGAACGTAGCATTTGTTGGATTTTCTTGGTGGGTTTGTAGATTGTTTGTATGTTATGTCTGAGGATGCTTGCCATAGATGCAGGCAAAACGTCAGGAGAAATGCCTCTAGAACATGGCCCTATAGCCCGAAAAAACCTACAAGAACCTGACAATGAAATCATTTTGCACCTCATTATGTGGACATAACAAGTCACATCTCCACCCCTACCCACAGCTTGAACAGCTACCAGGATTGATAACTGTGAATAGCAGAAGACTATACCAATCTCTGTAACCTCCATAACAATCAAAAAAGGCATATAGACATAATGCCTGTTTATGCCAGTAACAGGATGCCAAACTCTGTGTGGCATAGAGAGGCATAGAGAGATGTGCAGACAGAAGGGAAAGAGAGAGAAAACTATGTTTTTAATGCTAACTTTTAATACTAACTTTAATACTAGCCAATACTAAAAATGTGTCTTTTAAAAAAAAAAGCAGGATGGAGAAAGCAGGCTAGGCTAGGTAGAAAAATATTTCCCTGTGCCACATTAGCTTTCTACACAGAGAAGTATTAAACACCTTTCATTATATCTACAATGGATGATGAACCTGAGCACATTTCTAACTGTAAACCTCAATGTTGACTATCCTCACTCCACTGTTTATGAAGATTAATGAGACATGGTATTAGAAGGCACTTCTGCACACACAGAAATCATGATGCAAATGCTAGTAATGAAGAGCAGCAGTAGCAGAGGCTTCAGTGAGTATACTTCTCTATACTTTGTGGAAAGGAAGCAAAGGTACATGACAAAAGAAAGGAAGGCAACATAGCAAACAGGTACATGCTGCACTCACTGCTTGCTTACACCAGGAACAGCTGATGGCTACAATCTCCTTGCTGTGGAAGGCAAATTTCTGTTGGAAACCCTGCAAGAAAAGAAAAGAGGGAAAGAAAGTTCATAAGGGAAGGTATGTAATACTTGTTTGATTTTTCATTTTGTTTTGTTTTTACTGCAGTGAGAAGCAAATGATCCATGAAGGCTGCAACCCTGTCTTCAAAGGCACAGGTTTGTTGACCATAAGGACTGATTGAAAATCCCCTTCCAGTGTCTTATCTCCTTGATTTTAGAGAGGATAGCTGTGATCTTAATTCTGGGTTTCTAGCTTCCATTGAAGATTTCTCAGTAGTCCTATGTATGTGATCAGAGTTCAGTGTCTTGTATTTGGGGGGGGGGTGTGAGGCTGAGCAGGAGGTGTTTTGTGGGTATCGTGATGGACTATGACAGATTATGAGTAATGTGCATGGAACTGGGAAATAATAAGGCGTTCCCAGCAAAAGGCAAATATGTGCCTTGAAATGGGGCAGGGGAAGAAGACTTGGAGCATAATCCAACATTGGACTTCCCACAACAGCAAAGCAAAATTCAGCAAAAATATTTGGAGCAGGGAGTAAGCATTTCCTTCCCTTCAGAGTTAGCCCTCTGATGCTTCTGATAAACCTGAATGCTTCTGATAAACCTTCCTCAATGGAAGGATGCTTGATTTATCCATGGGTCATATCAAAATCCACACTTTTCCACCCAAAACCTGTCTGTGACTTATACAAAATACATCTTATGCAAGACTATTAGTAATGATGAGCTCTAATGAGGAAGATCTTAAGATGCACGGACACAGCATATTATTTGAGAACACAGAAATGCTGGACCACTCTAACAACTACCATGTCAGAGTACACAAAGAAGCCACTGAAACCCACAAGCATGTGGACGATTTCAACAGAAAGAAGAAAACCATGAAAATGAACAAAATCTGGATACCAGTATTAAAAAACTCTAAAATCAGGACAGTAAATAAAGAGCAACACTCAAAAAGCAGGGGAATTCCAGCCAAAAATCAATCGGGGCCAGCTAATATCTTCCAACAAAGGATCCCCCCTTGAAGCTGCAAGGCTATTCAATGCTAATCAAGGTGGCCAATTGCAACATTCACACTTGCCTCAAACAGACAAGAGTTCTTTCTTCCACCCTGGACATTCCACAGATATATAAACTCCACTTGCCTAGTTTCCAACAGACCTCACAACTTCTAAGGATGCCTGCCATAAATGTGGGTGAAATGTCAGGAGGGAATGCTTTTGGAACAGGGCCATACAGCCTGGAAAACTCACAGCAACACAGCATTATTGCATCTGCAAGCTAAGTATGAACATCTGGACAAACACATAGATTTTCCTCTCACCTTTCCACATTGTCGGCATTTTCCTTCCTGGCGTCTCCGATGCACCCAATGATGCCGTACAATAGTAGGCTACAAAGAAATAAGGGGAAAGGTTCATGAAGAGTTTGAGCAAGTGAAACTGAAAAAATGCATAACAAGTCTCTTAAGCACATATCCTGCCTGTTGGTGTGATGATCCCACTGCAAATCCCTATATTCCAAGGGATTATGGTTGTTCCTTTTGATTCTTGCCCATGGGTCCAACATTTAAGGATTGCTAACAAGTCGAATGACTACATACTATTAGGTGGATAAATGTTTATCTCAGTCACCATATAAAAACCCCTGCCAATTTCATACAATTGGATGATAATCTGGAAAGAAAGCTTTGGCGGAATTATTCTGGGGATATAAAACTGCCTCCCAGGAAGGTTCGTTGATCCAATACTAACCCTTAGAAAATAACACTGCTCTTGGTGACTGAGACTAATAAGAAAGAGAAAAATGTGATTACATTCTATTTTGATTTGTTCCCACCATTCGGCTCATTAAGCCCCTTTGACTAACTTTGTCTTCTTCTTAGAAAAAAAAGTGAAAACCTTTTTATGTCAGCTGACATATGGTGGGAGGAACAGTTGGCATTTCATGCTAACTTGACATTTCTCTCCTCTGTGGTGTTTGTTTGTAAGTCTTTATGGCTGCATTTAAAAGAATCGTAATTCTTTTTACTGCTAATTGTTTTATTAACTGTTTATTACCCCAAGGGCCTTTTCATATCAATAATGCAATTGCACATAAATGCACCAATAAATACAGTTGTGAAAGTACGGTATTAAACATAGGCTAAAATTTAATGTGCTCCTTGTATCTGCCAGGGCAAAAGTGGAGGTCACAAATGATGCAAGATGGGGAGCAGACTCAGGAGTTTATTTTCTTGTTGTCCAACATTCTTCCCTGCCTTGCTTATCTTGTTAACCTAGGTATTCATCCAATCTACTCTAATGGTAATCCAGGTTCTACAATTACTGTATATCAAGAGTCATGGAAATAAGAATCAGATCCTACCATTACTTGTTTTAACTTGTGTAATGTATTGTATTGTTTGTTGTTTATATTTTTTTAATTTGTTTATATAGGTATTGAATGTTTGCCTCTATTATGTTGGAAACCGTCCTGAGTCCCCTAGGGGAGATAGGGCGGGTTACAAATAAAGTATTACTACTACTACTACTACTACTACTACTACTAAAATCAAAACCATGAAAAAATGTATTGTATTTGAGAGCCCAGGATCATACCCCTGCCATGCCCTCTCATTGGAAGGCTAGGATGGTGAATTGATTGCTAATGACTATACGTTTTCTCCATTGGTTTTTTCCTTTTGAAATCTGGCAAGTAAAATATAAAGAATGGCAAGGCATGAGATAATACTGTGCATTTGAGAGCAGTAGTGGCATGTATGTCAAAAGCTATTTGATTTATTTAAGAGAAGAGACTCTACATCTGTATCCAAGGTGGGTGTGAAGGCTACACCAAGTAGGTTACATTTCCTCTGCAACAGAGCCCTGAGCGACCAAGCATGGAGACTGCCTGGTGGTGAAACAATATGAATTCCCATTACCTCCACCCTCAACTCTTCAAGACCATGGAGTGTTCTTACTCTAGGTCTCATCCTTCAAGCCAGAATATAGACCTGCTCCTCTCTATTTTGTGTGTGTGTGTGTGTGTGCGCGCGCGCACGCGTGAGGAGCAAGTTGCTTCTGGTGTGAGAAAACTGGCCATCCACAAGGACGTTGTTCAGGGGACGCCTGGATGTTTTGATGTTTTACCATACTTGTGGGAGGCTTCTTTCATGTTCCTGCATATCTCCTCACTAATGAAAAAGACACTAAACATGCACTATGGTCTTAGGAAAGACAGCAAAGTTGCTGCCCATGTTGTTAAACTGAATTTTGTCTTATTTATAAGATTTCATTGACATGCTACCCATATTGTTAATGATATCCTGTACATAATACAATACCTAAATATTCCAGAATGAATGCTTAATGTTCTTAGTAATGGCTATCTATTTCCCTAATTTTCTGTTCAGGAAAGTCTAATCGTTTACAACATTTTATTTTGGCAAATGCAAACTATTTATTATTTATTTATTTAGTATATTTCTATACCGCCCCTCTCAGCCTTCCGGCAACTTGAGGCGGTTTACAAGGCAAGAACTCAATGCCACTTAGGACACAGATTACAATAGACAATATAAAAACATCAGCAACAATAAAATCAAACATTATAATGAAACATACTTCAATCGATAATCAATGTCCAGTTCCATCATATAGTTATTCTGTTATTATATCCATTACTCCTAGCTAGGTGTTATCTCATTATTTCCTTTGAAAAAGAAATTCTACACATTATTAAAACATACAAACAATTCATGTCTAACACTTATTCATTGGTATAAAAATATTGCTTTCTTCCTTCTCTATGTGCAGATTCTCAAAAGAATGTTTAGAGCCACAATAGTCTACTATTACCCACAATTTTGTAACTCAGGTTTATCCTGGTGTACATTATGAGACTGGGATACAGAAATAGGTTTAGGATTAGTATTTCTTACCCACTGTGTAATGTAAATTATTCTGCATAGATAATTTCCTGATTGTACAAACCCATAAACAGCCCATACAACTCTCACCTCTCGGACATTCCTTGATCCAGATTCCCTGAAGGAAGGCTTGCATCGAAAATTTATCTACAGATTTAACATAAAGTGAGTGAATATATTTTGAGAAAAAATGAAACATTTTTACCCCCACAGGAACATGTTATTCAGACAAGGGAGTCCCTCTTCTTTTTCCTTCTATCAGTTGAAAACTTAGAATATGGATAAACATGATTGCCCAATATAGCGTTTGCCAACTGATCCATATAGCTCAGTGATTTCTACTCAAACTCAGTGATGGAAATCCCACAAAGATGTCTCTCAGGCCACTCATTTAATGTGGCACAAATAGAGTTACCAGATATTGAACACAGAGACTTCTGACTTCAAAGATATGAATTTTAACTTTTGTAAGTACAAATACAGCTTGCATTTAGAGTCAACAAACAAAGTAAGAAAACAGAGTTCTTGGGAATTTCTCCCACTAGGCATATAAATGTTCTTCCAATATGAATCCAAGCAGAAATGTTCCATCTCTTTATTAAATCTGATTTCTTTCCATATAGCAATGCAATATTACCCATATTCACTCACTTTCTCTAGCTGTTCTATACAAGGCGTATGGACTACAATCTTGCAGGCTGCACACTTGCGTTTGGAGAAAGGTTTTTGCTGCAAGTTCAGAAAATGAAAAGATGACATTATAAGTTGTTCCTGGAAACCATGCAAGCTTCACTTCTTAATACAATGACTCTGAGGAAAAAATAAAATATAAACCATAAGATACAAGCCTGGAAAACTGGGTAAAAGTCAATTCCTTCCCATGTCCCCATCTATGTGAGAGCCAAAAACGCAATTATTGTAAATATGTGGAGCAGATATTCTTTCCCAACTCTGTGTCGTAACAAGCAAATGCAATCAGGGATATTTGGGTTGCTGAATAAGTATGGGTTTTCAACATAGAATTCAGTGACATGGGTCCTTCGAAATGTTTCTTTCTGTCTCACTTCCCCACTTCCCTGGGGTCTGGCTCCAGGATCCCCATCCACCACTCCTGTGGATGACAAAATCCATGAATGCTCAAATTCCATTATATACATAGGTGTAGTGAAATAGTGCCCCTTATATAAAATGGCAAAACTACTTTTGGGATTTAAGTTGTGCATGGTTGAACTCATGGATACAAAAGTTCAACTGTATTTAAATTAGGCTCCGATTTATTTTTTTAAAAAACCCTAAATTTAATTGCTAGCCCAAACTGAGACAATTAGATGTGTACAACTGTTTTCTTACCATGGCACAAATTATTTAGCGGGCATATTCTAATTGAGTCGAGTAAATGGATACTTAAGAATGGAAGATAAACAACAGGAAGAGAGAGAATTCTGTCCCTCGGAAGGGAAATTCACTCCTGGAAGTCTTATCATGGGGAAAAAGGTGTCTCCACTGAAGCTTTATCACCAATCCTTGTTTCCACAAGCAGCCAATTTTTTTCAAAATCCAATTATCACATGGACAGAAAATGAGGTGAAGTCTTCTGAACAGGAGCACAGACAACAAAACAAACACAAGTGTGTTAACCCTTCCCTATGCTTGTATGTATGCATCTGAGATCATCTGGGGAAGTCTGAGATCATCTGGGGAGGCCCTGCTATCGACCCCACCACTGTCACAAGTGAGGCTGGTGGGGACGAGGAGCAGGGCTTTCTCAGTGGTGGCCCCTCACCTGTGGAACTCACTCCCGGGGGAAATCAGGGCATCATCATCCCTCCTCGCCTTTAGGAGAAGGGTGAAGACTTGGTTATGGGACCAGGCCTTTGGGCACTCCGGCAACTAAATCAGACAACCAGGCGAGTAAGACCAGCAGGATTAATGAAGTGGAACGTAAAACTAGATCTATGAGTAGCGAACGCTGACCATGTAAGAGGAGAAATTGGGTTTGTATTTGGTTTTATTGATTTTATTGATTTTATGGTTATAATGTATATTTGTTGTTAACTGTGTATTGATGTAATTCTGTGTTTGATTGTCTTTATGATGCAGGCATCAAATTGTGCCTTTGCTTTTGTAAGCCGCCCTGAGTCCCCTTCGGGGTGAGAAGGGCAGGGTAAAAGAACCCCAAATAAATAAATAAATAAATATGGTGTGTGTGTATGTATGTATGTATGTATGTATGTATTTATTTACTTCACTCGTATACCACTTTTTTCACCCTAGGAGGCCTCAAAGCAATTCCCAACAAATTGCAAAATTCAATGCCTCACATATGGAAATGTAACGTAAAACATGATATATATGGCTGGAGTTACACTTGAAAATGTACCTGTTCCAACTTACATACAAATTCAATTTAAGAACAAACCTTCAGAACCTATCTTGTTCATAACTTGGGGACTGCCTATATATGGGCATCTGCAGACTAACATTTGGGTATTTTCATCAAGAACAAACCTGCATGTTTATCTGGTTTATCCACAAGATAAACATACAAGTCAAATTGTATTTCTTTATTTTCAAGTTTTCTTATTTCCTTTGTGACTCTTGAAGGCTATCAAAAGCACTACAGGTAAAGAGTCGAGTCCTATGGTGGCTTTATGCTGTGCAATTTTAAACTTAGAGCTGTGATTACATATTTTACCAGTTTGCACAAGGAATTCTCTAACGTTGCTGGTATAATTCTGTGGAATTAGACTCTGCCAGGTCTCAAGAAGACTTTTGCCACAGGGTGATTTTCTTAAGAAGAAGAAAAAAAAATCCTAAATTCTTGAATACAGCAGGCTTTTGGTATTCGCTAAGGTTACGTTCCAGGACTTCCGTCAATACCAAAATCTAAGGATGCGCAAGTCCCATTACACATAATGGTATAGTAAAATTATAGCCATTAAATAGTATGGCAAATAGAATGATTTGAGTTTTGGATTTTTTGAGGGGAGATAAATATTTTCATTCCCTGCATGGTTGACTCCACAACTACAGAACCTCTGGATACAGAGGGCTAGAATGAACTGCTCCAGTTACAAAGTTGCAAATATCAGAGAACTGGTAATCTAGCCTAGGTTCATAAGCTTCTACTGGTGACAGTTTTTCAAAATAGATTTTTGTTAGCCAGAGCTTGAGTTTGGTATCTGTGCCCCTAAATCATATTTTTAGGCATGCTGTTACTTTATATAGCTGTTACCTCTGATGGTTGTCAAGCTAGCATTACCTCTCAAAGGACTTAGCAACACTCTTTCCGGTCATTCCTACTGATAATTGGGAATAGCAGGGATTGAGCCAGATTGGGTTTTGTTATTTTGTTTTGCATTAAGTGTGTGTTTTCCTACTGAGCTATGGCCCAGTTTTGTTTCATGCCTTTTGCGGAAAACACTGAATTTTTCTGGTTCTCCCTAAGCAATTAATTATGTTTTTTTTAAAAAAGAGAGAGAGAGAGAAAGGACAGGTTGCTTATCTCTAGCTATGGACCTTTGAGTGGCCCTTGTGAAATCACACATATGGGTTGTTCTGTTCCTGTGTAAAGCTGGTCAGAAACCTCTAGAGCTACGTGAATCCATTTTTCCGGTTCTCCAGTGTCATAAGTGGGTGTTCTCACACTTTCCTTCAGCTCCTACACGCCACAGCCCACAAAAGGAAGCAACAACAGACAAAGAGCAAAGACAGCCCAGTGGATGGATTGCAAGCTCACAGATGATCACTGGAATAACCAGTTGCAACTAAGCAACATCGTCTTCTCTCTCATCACATAAAGGCGTGACTAATAAACTGGCCCAAGTGGAAGTAGAATAGTTGTCAATGGCAAAGAAAATACTGCACCCCAAAATCGCCTCCTTTCGCACACCAAAGGCAGCTGCTACCGTCATAAGCAAATGTGAGCCCCCACTTCCCCTTCTAAGCCTGTCCTGACATTCGTTTCCCTCTCTTGCTCTCTGTCCCACAGCAGCAATGGCTGCCTTTGCTGCGCACATGGGACAGGGAGTGAGGCATAACTGTATTAATTATAATTACAACTTAGCAAGGAATAAATCCACACTTTTGTGATCAACTTATTTGTTGATGTTTTTGAGCAGTTATATAGGTGCAGACTCACTAAATAGTGTAGGGGGGTTATCCGATGGTTCAAGCACTGGAGAGTGTTGTCCCAGGCTATACTGCTGTTTTGTTTTTTCATTTTTTTTTTCATGTCAGCAGCAACTTGAGAAACTGCAGGTCGCTTCTGGTATGAGAGAATTGGCTGTTTGCAAGGACGCTGCCAAGAGGACGCCCGGATGTTTTACCATCTTGTGCGAGGCTTCTCTCATGTCCCTGCATGTGAAGCTGGAGCTGACAGATGGGAGCTCATCCCACTCTCCGGATTCGAACCACTGACCTTTCAATCAGATGTCCTGCTGGCACAAAGATTTTTAACCCACCATGCCACTGGGGGCTTCATATTGTTGGTGTCAAGAGAAGAATGAGTTCACTGCAGAATGTCACAGGGCAGATATTTTTCAAAATAACTAAGAAAAATTATTTTAGTCATTCCTGAGAATTGGGAAAGAGTTGCTTTTTCAGAATTGTGACCATAATAGTAATTGATTAAATTTGAGGTCTTAAGATGATAGTCCATCCTCCAGGAAATAAGGCTCGACTGCTCACTGGAGGGAAGGATACTAGAGACAAAGTTGAAGTACTTTGGCCACATCATGAGGAGACAGGAAAGCCTAGAGAAGACAATGATGCTGGGGAAAGTGGAAGGCAAAAGGAAGAGGGGCCGACCAAGGGCAAGATGGATGGATGGCATACTTGAAGTGACTGGACTGACCTTGAGGGAGCTGGGGGTGGTAACGGCCGACAGGGAGCTCTGGCGTGGGCTGGTCCATGAGGTCACGAAGAGTCGGAGACAACTGAACGAATGAACAACAAGATGATAGTGCTAACAAATTGTTTTCTAAAGTAGTCTGTCAAGCTTTCAATTTCTAATTGATGACTTATGGGGAGGATAACTTTAGATGATTTCCGTTTTGCCCCCACCAGATGTCAGTATATCCTCACAGACTGAATCAATCTCACCATAGTCAGCCTTTTACCGAAACTTACCAGCATTTTTGCTACACAGTTTTGCTCCCCCACGTAGCAGAAGTCCCCAGAGACATTGGTTTCAAACCAGATGTGCTCCCCATAAATTGCACCCTCCTGAAAGAAAAATACAAAGATAATGTTCATGTTCTGCAATATATTATGGGAGAAGCAGTTTAGGATCTGGCCAGGTTTCTGCCTAAAGATATCAACCCCAAGAGAAAGACCATCACAGCTCTCCAGCTTGGCCCACAGGACAAAACAGGAAGACAGAACTTTGGTCACACCAAAGTTATTACCTCATGGCAAGACTTCATTGTCACACTAATGTGAACACAACTTTGCTTCATCATGATACAAGTGTTTCCTGTTTTATCACCCACTAACTACCAACAGCAACATGAAGAAGATTCACAATACAATGGTCAGAACAGCCTATGAGCTAGGGCAGACATGGGCAAACTTCGGCCCTCCAGGTGTTTTGGACTACAACTCCCACAAATCCTAACAGTTGGTAGGCTGTTAGGAATTGTGGGAGTTGTAATCCAAAATGCCTGGAGGTCCGAAGTTTGCCCCTACCTGAGCTAGGGCAAGTTTGTTTCTTTCAAATGAAGGGATTTGGGTGAAAAAATGAACATCATGAATCAATGGAATTGGCAAATATGAAAACACATAATGTTACCTGTGAAAGGTAAGAATTTACTCCAAGTGCTGTACTCATTCATGGTACAACCCCCCCCCCCTCATTTTTAAGACAGCTGTTTTATAGGAGATAGCTGGGTCAGTCTTTTTCAACATCAGAAGGAACAGAAGGGACCTTTGAGGCTCACCGATATCTTTTAGCATAAACTTTCATGGACTCCAGTACAAGAACACTTGCACCTGATGAAATGGACTAGAGTTTGTGAAAGCTTCTGCTGAAAGATATTGGTGAGCCTCAAAAGTGCTGCTACGGTTCCCCTCTCTCTCTGATCCCTGTGTTTTGTTTCATTTTCAGGACATGACTCAAAAGATGCTTATTTTAGTAGTAAAAACAGTAAAAACTGTCAAGTTCAGAAATAAATTCCATCCATATGTGGGGTATAAATTCAATATGTTGGTGATGATTCTGAGCTAGGAATTCTAAAACCATTTTGAGGACATGTGAAAACATCTTTCTTTTATACAGTAAGTGAGAATAATAATAATAATAATGTTTTACTTATATCCCACCCCCCTCTCCCGTCTCCTTGTTCAGATTCTAAATAGTCCTTGAAGAATTCAAAATAATGTGTGTTGTTTTGATAGATTAATTTGGATGTTTTATATTCACGCTTTATGTTCGTTATAATTTCAATTGATTATATTTTATTTAAATTATAGTTGCTATGCTTAAGTCGCTCTTTATGTGGTGTTATTTTGGGCCATTGCATTTATATTTACTGTTATTGAGGCATTTAATGTTTGCCTTTTTGTTTGTTGGAATCAGCCCCGAGTCCCCCAAGGGGAGATAGGATAGAATATAAATAACGTTTTATATTATATTATTATATATAAAATATTTTGGGCCTTTGTATGATTAAGAAAAGCATATTTCAAGCATCTTGATGTACGTCATAATTTTCTTCTGTGGACCCAATCTAGAAGGGTAGCTCTTTGTGGACAAGATCTATACTGGTAGGCCAAGAATGGAGAAAAAACACCAATCTCCCTTAATTTGATTTGTCAGATCTAGGAAGAGACTGAACTTACACTCCAGTCCACAGTATTGCGAATTTCCCGTTCTGAATCACTTCTCAGGGCTAGCGTTGGGGCTGGTTGGGCTACCATGTGCTGGAGTCCAGACTTGGCAATAGCTTTTCTGAAAGACAGGGAAAAGAGCAGCTATAAACACATTTTGTTGAAATTAATTACTAAAGATACACAACATTCACAGCTCCACTTGAATGAGAAGCTATAAAGGAGACAAGGAGGGGGAAAATCACTCCATGAATTAGCATCAATGTCAGGAAACAGCCTTGAATTAGACAGATATTTCTACAAAACAATACTTACCCAACTCAGCACTAGCAAATGTCTCAGTTTCTATTTATAGCAGTGGCTGTGAGAGAATCAATCTCTATTTATACCAATGTGTGGCAAGTCATCTATAGTGAGCAGCTAGCCACACAGACAAGACAATTTATATCATGTTGCTGATAAGATACAGGATAAACTAAAAACAAAAGTAACTCCTTGGTGGCAGCTGGCATGAAGAATAGATCTCCATCTTTCACTTTTGATGGAAAAACTAAAATGAATAGCACATAGCTTTCAAGTTGCTTCTTGAGCCAAATGTTCTAATGCTAGCATGATATAGAATTGGAACTTTTTGCAATGGCATTTCAAAATCAAAGGGTGCATGCCCAAAATGACACGGGGTGTTTACAGATCCATCCTTGTCTTCCTGTATTTTTTCCTTCCCACAAGTCAGACGAGAACAAAAAATTCATTTTTAAATTGGATGTATTTTTATCTCAACCTTCCTTCAACTAGCTCAAGGCGTTTAATGTAATTTCATGGCTTTTACTCTCAGTTGAGGTTGACCATGTGTGACTGACCTAAATTGCTCCAGTGACCTTTGCAGCTAAGCAAGAATATGAACCAGGATTGTTTAACATACTACTATTCCCTTGCAGTAAATCAACATTACACTCATGAAAGCATATAGAAATGATTGCTGTATTAAATCTATAATTGGAACTACTGAAAGAGAGAGAAAAAGTAAGATAAAGAGAATGTTAAATGTTTGTTCACATAGACATATATAAAGACGGGTAGGGGAGTGTGTTGCTATAAGCATGTTAAGAGATGTGAAAACTATTCAAATCTGTTATGAAGACATGGGAATAATGGTGGGAGGCCATCTTCAAGTACTATATCACTAGCTTTAGCTCAGAAATGCTGTTTGATTAAAAAAAGGAACAGTACACACAAAAAAGAGAAGTCAGGATGCTATGTAACAGGATGTTGGGATGAGGTAGGCTTAGAAACCTTGGTTGGCTATGCTTATTGGGTGACCTTGGACAGCTCAGCCTAATGTCTTCACATTTGATACCCTTTGAAGGAAGAAGTAGACAAACTTTTTGCAATACACTGCCTGTTTCTGGTCTTCCACAATTAATGAAAATGAATATGCATCATTGTTGATGTCTGGGCTATGCTGGCCTTTCTCCACCTCAAATCATCTTGATTCCATTAAGCCATTCATATGGTAATAGGGCACAGTAAGCTTCAACAAAGTCTTCCTGGTGGGCAAGAACTATTCTCAGGAATTTGTGTGCAGTCAAAATCTACCAAATAGTTCCAAGGGACACTTCCCCACCTCCTGGCAACCTTCTATACCCTGCATGGGTGAAGCAAAGCACCTGACTTGAGAGTTTCAGTGGAGTGCCACTGTGGGATGAGGTACCTGCAGTGGCCCTGAAGCCCATACATTGCTTTGCTGTGTGCAGACTCTGTAGCTAGTAGGTGGGAGGCCCTTTTGTACAAGTAATGAGGGTCTTGTAGAATGGGCCCTGGATCAGCAGGATGCTGTGGAGGAGGTTTGGTACCTAAAGGAAGATCCACTTACAGCTCTTTCCCTTCCTGTTCCGCTGTCAGACCACTTCCTTCAGAGCCTGAGGAAGCCGCTTCCTCACTCCAGTCGCTCTCCACCTGTCCCTCCTTCGAGGACTCCGAGCTGCAGCTTTCAGTACAAGGCACCCTCCTCCTTTCCTCCTCCTCTTTATATACCTGGATGAGGCTGGCTAGCAGCAGGGAAGGCCCTATGAGATGAGTATCTATGGCACGCACTCGGCCACCACGTTTCTTCTGGACAGAAAACCTAGGGCTCAAGCGAGGGGTAGTGGTGCTGGATCTCCTACGGGAATTCAACTGAGGCCTATGACGGGAGCCCAAGCAAGACAGCCCTTGCATCTGGATACTGGATTCACGCCGGCGCTGTACCAGTACGGTGGAGGGCTGACCCACCACAGAGCGCCGCCTTGCTTTGCTGGCAGGCAGACTCAGCACACTTGTGCGCCGGGACCCCAACAAGACAGCCTTCTTCCTGAAGTGCCTTTTGAAAAAGGATTCCATAGCGAATGGGAAGGCTGTTGACAAAGAAACCAAGTGTTTTACATGGGGAGCTCACAATACCCTATCTAATATCCATTTGTGTGCCCCCCCCACCATTTTAGTCCAGTGAAGTCCTTTTTAAAGGAAGAAATAAACCAGTTACTTTGAATTTTGTGAGGAGAAAAGCCTCCTCTACAGGGTCTAAAAGGGCAAAAATGCCCCCCTAGATTCTACAGGAGTTGCATTGTTTTGCAGTGTGGAATGTTATGGGAATACTTTCCCAAAGCCTCCTATTGTCAATCTAAACCCTACTGCAATGGTCAATGGACAAAACCAGTCTGTGGTTTGGTAGTTCTACATTGCTACACTGAACCCACTTTTTAAAATCTCATCTGTCTCCTTGAAACTTGAGAAAGAAGTACAAGAAAACTAGCAGTCAGAAAATCTCACACATCCTGCCAGAGAACAGGTGTTCCATTTTACAAATACAAAATAGGGCAACCAAGACTCATGACAACTATGGGACATTTATATTCTTTAGAGTCATTTCTGCATGAAACAATGAATTATCTCACAGATCCACTTTTAGCTTTTACATACAGCAATTCAGATGTCCAGACTCCCAAGTACTGGGCAGCCCAATTGTTTATCATACTATGTTAACTAATAAAAAGTACTGACATGTAGCCCATTTAAGATCATTAAAGGAACCATTGCTGGACTATACCAAAGTCCTATCTAATTCAATATGCTGTTCAGACAGCGGCCAATCTGTTGCTGACAGGGATTTCACCAAGAGGACATGAGTCCAACTGCACACACCATACTCTCAAGTAATTAATATCATTCCTATAGGTTGCTCCTGGAACCTGCTGTCTGCCCCAAAATAGTTTCCTAACCTTTTTCAAACCACAGAAAATAGCCAAGTAGAAGTAGTACACATCGAATATTGAATACTCTTGAACTGGCAAACTTTTTTCAGATGTGAGAACCAGCAAGATTTTTCCCCCTGGGCAGAAGAACTTTGAGATAAACCTAAGAGCCAGAATTTTCGTAAAACAAGTCAGAAACAGCAGGCTAAAATTCAGCATAAACAGCCACAATGGAGTATCATAACACCTTTCCAAAAATTACACAGAATTGGACTCTAAGATACATTACGGATATTTATGGGAGAAAAAAGTCCCCAATCAGTTGTAACCCCCAAAAACAACTCTTCGGGGATTACAATGGGTATGGGGAGGGAGTCTCTTGAATAATATAAAATTCAGAAGGGTTACTGTAGATGTAGATCATAATACACTTAACTGTGCCATCAACAACCAGTCTCAATGAGTTTTCAGGAATATGTACTAATAGGATAATATCATGGCACAAAAATGGTACCAGCCCCACCATGCTGAAGAAAAGAAAAATGCAACTGAACTGTACTGCTTTGTGGGAGGAGACAAAGCAACATACTCTAATGAGAAATTTCAATGAGAAATATTCATGGCACATACAAATACCCTTTTTTATTCATATGACAAGATTAGAGCCTCATCCGCTTCATTAGTAAATGTTTTGCAAAAATCAGTTTTATGTTCATGTCACACTCCCACAAAGTAGTACCACACTAACCAGGTTGATCTACTACTACCACCAAACATCAAAGTGGCCAAAGAAACCAGCTTGTTAACAATGAAGAGTGAGGGCCGGGAAATGACCTTGGAGGGCCATATCCGGCCCCTGGGCCTTAGTTTGAGGACCCCTGCTTTATATCATGGAAAAAATGATATAAAGAGTGCTGGCTCCTGTTACTCAATTATGAATTTCGATTACAAGTTTCTTCAGTAGTAAGGCCTGGAGTTTTGGCCCACTAGATAACTGTAATCAGGGTTGTGGTAAGCTTCATGTTTGTTTAACAACAGGCGGCTGAAGCTTCAGCATAACAACGAAGCTAGCCAGACCACACAAGGCAGGTTCCTTCCTCCCAGGCAACTAAGCAGGAAATATTACAGCTTCAGTCAAGTTCCACAAATTCCAGCATCTTTTGTCTTATTCTATAGAAGGGTAAACATAGCTTGCTTTAACTGAGAGATTTCATGCAATTCACAGGCATATAAACAATGAAAAACCCAACACACTATCTGTAGATTGAGGCTGTCATTTTGGATGTCAGAGCACCATGAATTCAATGGCTCTTCCTGCCTTGAAAGGACAAGTGGTGGTCTTCAGAGCACTCCCCAGAGAGCCAGCCACTTGGGCAGAAACCTAGTAATATCATTCCACTTTAAGTGCCATGTCTGAGCATACAATTCCTTGCACACTGGAAATCCCAAGAATCCACATGACAGAGCCCTGGTAGCCCTGGTTGTGCAGAGTGAACTGGGCCCATTTCTGAGTTTTACCAGTCCAAGTTCTGAGTTTTACCAGGTTCGCATCTTGGGAGTGATCCTGGACTCATAGCTGAGCCTGGAACCCCAGGTTTCAGCGGTGGCCGGGAGAGCTTTTGCACAACTAAAACTTGTGCACCAGTTGCGCCCGTACCTTGGGAAGTCTGATCTGGCCACAGTGGTCCACGCTCTTGTTACATCCCGAATAGACTACTGCAACGCACTCTATGTGGGGTTACCCTTAAAGACTGTTCGGAAACTTCAACTGGTCCAGTGAGCGGCAGCCAGATTGCTCACCGGAGCGACATACAGGGAGCACACCACCCCCCTGCTGTGTCAGCTCCACTGGCTGCCGGTTCAGTTCCGAGCACAATTCAAGGTGCTGGTT